AAGAAACTTTTTTCAAAACAAACATTATCTACGATTCATCTCAAACGCTTTTATTCCATCATTATTATATCCATTAAAAACAACTTTACGTAGGTGCCACAATTATTACGTGAATATCCAATATTATTATTGATAATTAACAAAAAAAAATTAAAAAGGGCTATGCAAAATAGGAATATTCTTTTCTGTCCCCGCTTCAAAAGGTTAATATAAAAAAACAAACTTTGAAAAAAACATCGTATATGAAGCAATTTCTGAGGACTTCCATAGATTGCGTATTTTACATATTCTTTGACGCGACTATGAACAGGAAATAACGACGAATATAGGAAAGTCTATTTTTATTTATAACTCCTAAAGTGTTGCAAATATCGATATTTTCCATTGAACAAATTTTATTCAACTTTAAGAGTTCTATGAAAATAATCCAAACATTTTTGTTTTAGAGCCTATTTTTATTTTAAAAACAGCCATGAACATGACAATGAAGAAGCCATGATAGACAATACATTAGGGATATATTTGTCTGTGTTGGAATTTAATAAAAATATGTTGTATCTGGTAGACAGTTCAAATATTTGAACAAACTATGGAAAAAATACGGAATTATTTGGTGTCAAGATATTTATTCAAATATATGATTGCAAATGATTAAGTTTGTTCGTTCTCATTTCAGCAAACTTTCAAGTATTTCCCAATTGTAATTAATGGAGAAATCATAATATCAATTGTTAGAGGTTCTCAAAAAGGTAATTTTTTCATTGAGTGATGATAAAATATTTATCGAACACAAAAAAGTAACTTATCTTCAAAACTACTCCTAATTTTACTTCGAGAACAAAACTAATTTTTGCAGAGTCGGATTGGGCCAGCTGGCAAATGCAATTCCGACATATGGTCAGCCCGACCCTGCTTTTATGTATTTTTTCTTATACGAAAATTTACACATGGACTTCAATACATTAGCAGGACTAGATAATTTTCTCTTCCCATTTTCAATTTTGAATTTATCCAGTACGACACAGTGGCAATTATTCGTTTTGTCACTTCAAAGGAGGGTGATAAATCGCATTTTGTCACATGCTACGTAGAAGACATTTGAGAATGTGGCCCAGGAGCCCGTATTATCGATTTCACGGCTAAAAATACTTCGGTGGTCAAGGTTACCAGAAATCATTATTCACTCAGCCAAATATTTTTCACTCAAATGGATTGAAACCAAATAGTTGGATATAAATGAATTTTACAAATATTGACCCGAATGAGCATATTTATTACGATAACAAATCAAGTTCTCGAAACTTTTAAAATTCAAAGTTTTTCATTTTCAGTTCCTATGAATGTTCTATATTACAAATAAGTTTTTGATTTTTGTCAAATAGAAGATTGATTGCGATGTTGGAGAATAGTTATAGTAGAACTATAAAATATATTCTAATTCTGCATATGAATCAATTTCAATTTTTCGATAGTAAAAGTAATGCTGCAACGCAAAGAAATAACTTGGTGGTGACCACAATAGAACAATTAATTTTAAGCAGTTTCAGTCCTTGCGGTTTTTTGAATACTTCTAAGGGTTCTGGATTTTAGAATTTTCAAGTTTACTTTAATGTAACTCACATACAGTGTGTCAATTTCAAAACTAACAATGGGCTATATCTCACGAACGAAAGCTGATATCGAAAAATGCTTGAAATTGTTTCTAAGGGGAAACTAAAGTGACACGAAAGAGAACTCATCTCCATCAACTCCCTAGGCCCCACCCACCAAAACTCAAAAAGTTTAAATTGCAAACCCCTATTTGTGATACATCATTGAAGAGACTATAAAAAATTATATCCAATGGTATAAATAATAATTGTACAGGGTGAAGCAATAATTGTGAAACTTTGGCTTAAATGGAATATTTAATAAGGTTTTTGTTGAACTACAAATTTATTAAAAATGTCAATTAAGTAAATGTTCAAAGTGGGTTCCGTTGTTTTGGAAACAATAATACAGCCTATTGTCAAAGTCTGCACGAACTTTAATATCAGCCGGCTTACCATGTTTTATTTGTAATGCTACCTCCCGGACTATTATTTTAAATGATACGTGTCCGTCGGTACTTTTTTTGTTAAATGAAAACTTAATTTGCAGTTTTTGTAAAACAAGTTGGAAAGATCTGGTTTTTGGGTTCTGTCAGAGTCAATAATATTTGGTTTGTTTGAGACTTTTAAATGTCATTAGTTGTCATCATTTGTACGATCTGTACTGTGATTCAGCTGTAGTTGTCACGATGGTTTACAGTATACCTGAGCGCGTGGAGATAATTTTTATATTTGCCTCCCAGAACAAGTCTTATTTAAAAGCAGCTCAAATATTTCATGAAAGTCATCCGGACAAAAATGTAAGTCACGTGTACGTCCGCGATTTAGTTGAAAAGTTTAGAGAAACGGGATCAGTGCAAAATAAAAAAAAGAATGCCCCAAGATTCCTGAATGAAGCTACCCAAATTGAGGTGCTTGAAAATTTTGCAATGGAACCTACTGCATCTGTATCTGCAGTGACAGGACTTTCACATGAGTCGGTTAGAAAGGTGTTGAAATTATATAAGTTTCACCCGTACGAAACACAAATTCTTCAAGAACTAGGCGATGATGATCCAGATCGACGAATTGAGTTTTGTGAACTCATGACTTAAAGAATTCGCGTTGAACCGAGAATGTTAAAAAACATTTGTTTCAGTGATGAATGTACTTTTATGCTGAATGGTAATGTAAATAAACAAAACTGTCGGTACTGGAGTGATGCGAACCCGCATCGATTCAGAGAAGGTCACACTCAGTATCCTGAAAAAATGAATGTTTGGGCAGGAATATTAGGCAATGCTATAATTGGTACCTTGTTCATACCAGGCAATTTGAGTGGCGACATTTATCTCGATATGCTGGAAAACACCGTCACCGTTTAATTGTGCTGCACTTCCAACAAGATGGAGCACCTCCTCACTGGCAGCTCCAGTTAGGCACTGGTTGGAAACTAATTATCCGAACAAATATATTGGAAGAACAGGTCCCATTGAGTGGCCACCAAGGTCACCAGACTTGGCGCCACCTGACTTTTTTCTGTGGGGTCACCTCAAGTCAGTTGTTTATAAAACTCAACCTGTGTCACTTGGGGAATTGCAAGAAAGAATTACGCAAACATGTCGCGCCCCCAAGGTCATCAGACTTGGCGCCACCTGACTTTTTTCTGTGGGGTCACCTCAAGTCAGTTGTTTATAAAACTCAACCTGCGTCACTTGGGGAATTGCAAGAAAGAATTACGCAATTATGTCGCGCCATTACTAGAACAACATTTGCCAAAGTTCGTGCAGAATTTGAAAATTGGCTGTAATATTGTTTACAAAACAACGGAACCCACTTTGAACATTTACTTAATTGACATTTTTAATAAATTTGTAGTTCAACAAAAACCTTATTAAATATTCCATTTAAGCCAAAGTTTCACAATTATTGCTTCACCCTGTACAATTATTATTTATACCATTGGATATAATTTTTTATAGTCTCTTCAATGATGTATCACAAATAGGGGTTTGCAATTTAAACTTTTTGAGTTTTGTGGGGCCTAGGGGGTTGATGGGGGTGAGTTCTCTTTCATGTCACTTTAGTTCTCCCTTACTATCCTAGAAACGATTTCAAGCATTTTTCAATATCAGCTTTCGTTCGTGAGATATAGCCCATTGTAAGTTTTAAAATTGACACACATATAAACTCATTAGTATTCTTTTTGGTTAAGAAGATTGATAATGTTCGTTAAATGGCAATAATTTTAATTTTCAACTACTCCTACTATAAACCTTGTGTCTCACAATGGATTTTATGGAGTATTTGCATAGTTGAAAAAATTTAATTCTCAAAAATATATGACGAGTAGATGCAAACAAATTCACATAAATGTTTTAAAAATGATATCAAAATTATTGATTTATGATTCACTGCATATGATTCGGTTGAAAATGATCACATTATTATCATATCTTGAACGTATTCTTTCGTAAATAAAAAAGTATTTAAATTTATTTCAAATAGCCAGGCCTAATTTACAATATGATATACCTTAGAAACTAAGAGTATAATGTTTTGAAGATTTCAAAGAAATGATGAAAGAAGAAATTAAATTATTTAAAATTGTTATAACAAAAGATTGCACTTTCGAATGTTAAAGAGTGTATATGGAAATTAGAAAAAATGAAAAATAAATATATGAATAAATATAAAGTATCATTTTAAAATGAGTGTTTCATAATAAATGTTTGAAGTTTTTGAGATTTTCTGATTCTTTAATTATTTTCGGCAGCTTATTGATTTGATCAGTTGTCGACTCCTTACGAACAACAGCCCTCAGAAGTGGAAACTTCTATGAGGTTAGGATTAATAAGACCTTTTCTTTTAACGTGCGATTCCTAGCACCATCCATTTGGAATTGAGAAGAAAATTGCTAAAAACATTCAAGTACTGTCCAAGTATCTAAATTTTTCCATTTTTTTTTATAAAACAATCGAATCGAGAATCGCGTTCGCGGCCAAAACTCTTCGTTTTTACCTTATTTTCAACGCTCCATTAAACATATAAATTTAGGTGGTGTAGTTTCGAGAATTGTTTTAGTAGATTTTCTGCTCTTGAAGATATTTTTCAAATTTTTAATAACGGCAATACTTTTTAAGATATTCGCAAAAAATGAACCCTTCATTAAAATAAAATTTTAAACTATTGGTGCAACTTAGCGCAAATTAATTTTTGTAATGTAACGAACCCAACGACACCTCAGTTATGATTTTTGAAGAAGGCGAACTGGCATGTGAAATAGCTAGGCTATCGCTACCGTAAAAGCAATTATAACGATCAAGTCGTTGTTATAAAAACTTCTTTTCTTATTAAATTAAATAGTTTTTGATGTTTAATTTAGGAAGTGAAGTTAAAAAAAAATCTCCGAGCAGGTTATTCACCTTCCCAAGGTTTTCAAATCATATTTATTCAAATTTGGTTATAAAGTCACATAGACATTAATATGTTTCAAAATCAGAAATTCTCCTACCACTGTCTGTATATTCGATATGATTTCAATGCTTTTTTCTTACACTCACAGGAAATCAACAGTTTTATTCTCTCTTTTTCGATGATCCTATTCCCTGTACGATTGTATGTTTCTACTTTTTGCAGGTCTCAATAAAAATAATAACAAATTAGATGTCGGTGAGAATACCTATCCTTCTGTGGATTCTTTGGCAGAAGAAGAATTACTTCATCTGAGGCGGCAACTACAGGAAATGGCCCAGGAAAAGACAAATTTGGCTCTGCAACTAGGTGAACAAAAGGGCCAATTGAATAATTTACAGAAGGAAATTCAGAAACTGAAGGTGAGTCTATAATTCCAAGTAACACACCGGCAATGTCTTCGAAACTATAATTTCATGATAAGGACACTATTTGCTTTTGTTGATGGGGTTAGAGTATAGTTCAACAAGATTTTTCTCAAATAGTTCGGTAATTCTAAAGTGGGTCTGTTCGAAGTTCCACTGCAATCCGCGAGTGTTTATTGTGGCTCACACCTATTCAAACTCGACTGAATAAATCCAATCTTCTGACGAAATCGATAACTATATTTGGTGAATGATCTTTCAGCTCAATCCAACTTTCAACGGGAGTTGGGGCTGTAAAAAGGCCTGTTAAATAACTTAGGTCATCCATGCCGTAATCTCATAATTGGCTAATGACATATTTTGAAGAATGTGTAAATGCCTTGGCATGGGCCAATTCTGGTTGATTTTTCCAGAAGTTTTAAAGTCCAGGTGATGCCAAAGACAGGTTCTGGTCTTATGAAAACGTTTGAAGTGCTCTCTTTTGCAAGGTAGTCCGCAGCTTTATAACTTCCCAGGCCCGATGTTTCCAGTAATTTACACCAGAGTTTTCCTTTGACATTGAACGTTGCTTGGTGAGAACCAAGTGATTACAAAGCCACAAGGCTCCCCGAGAATAGTTTTATTGATGTATGTGAGAAGTTGGTTGGTGCCAATCTTTCCACACACAAATCAATGAAGTGTAGGATCGCGTAGGGTCGTTGGAGGTTGCTATCTTTGATCTGGCACATCGAATGTAAGGACCTGAAAGTGTGTTTGATCCATCTCTGAACCAAGAGCTGTCTGCTCTTAGTATTTCCTCTACCTGGAGAATTCAATCCTCTCTACTTGGGGTAAGGATTGTGTGCGACAGATAATTCTTGAAAGACGTAAATAGTATGGTGATGGCTCAATGGCTTATCTGGAACTGATTTCACAGAAGTATGAAAAACATAAAATGATATGGGAGCTGGAGTATAATGTGCTGGATTTTTTTTTTTAAGAGTTGGCTGATTTTCAAAAGCTAATCAGCACTGGAAAGGAAATCAAAATTCATTTTCAATGATGTTTAAGTGACCCCTATTCCTATTGGAATGTTTTGTGATTGTGTTTAGGTTAACACTTGTTCCTTTTACTAGCTTGAGGCATTGTGTAAATCAATTAATATATTTTAATTTTCTCCTTGAACTGTGATTCCCAGATCTATTCTTCTCCTGAATTACTAGGAACCTTAGTGAAATAATCATTCAATCTGACATAAAAACATGGATTTATCGAAAAGGCAATTTGAGAATATTCAGAAGTTGTCAAAATATATAAAAATCCGGAAATGCATTCTACTAGGCCTTCTGTTTCCAATTAGCATGAAGTTTAACTACAAACTTGTTGTGACAATCCCTCTAATAGTTCTTGATGATTATGACTTCATAATCGCAACAGCACCAATGTTTCTGAGAAATCAGTCTGTTATCAATACTCTTAATATTCTACTGAACTAGTTGGAGAGAAACAAACATGACCATTGTATGATATAATGTGGTTTCAATCACTAATACTGGAAATAGTAATGTGACTTTCGCATATGTGAATGAAGGAATCGAATTAATTTTCTTTTCATTTGTATCATATTCACATACATATCCTACATTTTATTTGTAATTAGAAGTATGAAAGTACATTTAGTGTATAGTTAGAGACTAAATTATTCTACAAATTCATTTCTTTCCCATGTTTGAAATAAAAATGCTTTAATAGTCCGATTTATAATTACATAGGCCAATTTCTAGCAATAAACATACAATGCCAATATTGAAATTCAAATCGAATACATAAAGTAAATGTTGATCAAAATATCTAGTGAAAAAAGTATTACAAATTATGACTGCTTCAACTAAAACCTAATGTACGTGGAAATAGCGCTAGAAGTCAGCATTAGATATTTTATTTCTTAAATGTAAAATATTCAGATAAGCTCAAGCAATGTTTTTTCAACTAATCAACCTATTTCAAATATTTGTGATTGAATTTTTTCACTATGTGTCTACAAATGAAGGTCTGAAAAACTAATACTTGATAACTAGTCATGGTTATGGACATGGACAATATCATATCAGTTAATTGACATGCTGATTTTTTTGTTAACACCCCATTTTCACTTCTTATGACAGTCCTCAAAACTCCAAAGAATCAACAAGAAACTGATAGAAAAAAAATATTATTTTTTTACTTTTTTTCTGTGTAACTTTCGGATGTGGACAACTTCATATCCCTATTAACAGCAATACTCAAAAGTTCAAACTGAGTTAAGAATTTTACTTAGTAATCTGGATTGAAATTGAGGTGAGCAACCCTTATCACGTACTCGCGTAGAGCATGCCATACAAGTTCCCATTTCGAATAGGACCGAATATTTTTATAATCTTCAGAAACGGCCAGGGATCAAACCTGCATACAGCTTAGCGGTAGGATCTAGGCAACTTATCAGATTTTTTGAAACAATTCGTCTTTGTAACTACTTTTTTTAGTCTTTTCAGGACGAATCCAACATTCAAATGGAGCAGCTCTCAGAAGAGAATAGCAGGCTCAGGAAAAGGTTGAAAGATGTTGCCCACTCACCGCTGTCCGACAACGAAAAGCAGCAACTGCTCTTTAATACTCATCGACACCATCACAGCTCTTCAGCGCCTGCATCTATAGCTACCAATGTGAGTAACTACTAATTTGTTTCTGTCTCTGAATAATTCAATGGAGAAACACATTAATTCTGAATTCATCTTTTGTTTCTGTTAGGGATAGATTGAGTATTAGAGCTATTCCCTACCTGTAACAAAGATGATGATCTGTTAGTTACAAGGTTATTAATGATTGTAATTTATATTCAAATCATAATAATTAATAATATGATCTAGGAGGTATGCATTCTTCGATTTTTACAAGATGAGTAAAGTGATCAAAATATTAGGTTATTAAAAGGTTACAAAAAATAAAAAAGTTCAAAAAATACACATGACAATAAAACGGACAAAACTTGTGAAACATACTAATGTATCGGCGTTGAATTTTTTAATTTTTTTCAAGTAGTACCTAAAGTTTAAAGTGGCAAATGTGTGCAGTTTGATAGTTCACTTTGTTGTAAATATTAGTTCATAAGATAAGGCTTTTAGGCCTTGAAAACAATGATGCAATGAATTACCTTACCCACTAATCATATGATTATAATGCAATTACCATATTAAATTTTGTTTGTTATAAAAATAAATGTCTGCTCTCAGCGATAAAAATTATTTTCAAAGTATATTTCATTCACATGCACATATTACATGCAAAAAAGCCTATAATCAAATATAGGACAACACTGATGCGCTCATAGGGCTCTGATATTTTTTTCAAAATATTAACTTTCCTTTTTATACATATTCTATAATGTATTGAGTACAGAAACTATTGAAAGTGTGTTCACTCTTCAAGAATTAGAACCTATTTCTGGGATGGTTCATTATATGGTACCCATAATACAGAGTCATGACCTGAATGAAATGACAATTCAATCCTACTATGAGTGTGAAGAATGCTCATTAAAATTTTCAGAATCATCTGATATATCATTTGTCTTTCTGAAGTTACTATCGTAAGGTTACAGAAATCATTTGGGAAATCATTTTTTCAAAACCTTGAAAAGAGAAAACCGTAAAAATGGACTACAGCTGTCAATAGGATTATATATGTGATCAGGTTCCTCACGAAATATCTTTTTGGTAGAGATCTTGCAATTGATAAGCTACAATAATTGATTTGTTGACATTTGAACGTATTATCATGTAGTTGTCAGTTTTCCTAAATGAACAGAATTTTGTTTTGACTTTGAAGATGGATTCTGGAAATGTAAGTTGAATCTTAAAAAGGCATAATTACTCTATTCTAAAATCGTTGTTTGAAATAATTCAGGTGAAGTCATCTATTCTCTATGAACAACTTCCAGACATATTCAGGACAACTAAGGGAAGGTGAGGATCTAACCTTTCAACATGCAATCCTGAATATGTTCTAGAAATTGCATGAAAAATCCATCCAAGAACAAGGTACAATATAAATATAACCATGTCCATTAATTATTTCATTCAGATAGCGACTGAGTCTAATTACAATGTTGATGATTTCTCAACTGTCATTCGATCAGGAATTCAGCAAAGTCAATAATAAGATCCAAATTATAACCTCATTATGAGTATGTAAGATATTTTGATGAGTCTCTGTATTAATTGGGTTGCTTATCCGACTTATTATATTAATTTGAACTTTGTTAACATGCTTTGTACAGTACTCCACATTTAGCACATTTTCTGTTCCTCAAGTAATGTGAAACTGTAAAATTCTTGACAATCTGAAATTCTTTGAGTTTCGAATATTTATTAATGAAAGAGATACAAAAATTCAATTCATAAATGAAAATTTTGGATATATACAGATCTTTTATATATAAATATACATTCTGATGATTCAATTCAATTTAAGAGCCACCGGTAGACAGCTGTTTCAGCCTATTGGGCATCGTCAGTACTATTAAATTGAAATCAATATGGAATTGATCAGAATAGTACATCTATTTTACTTGTGATTTTCATGGAATTATTTTCCAGCAGCTTGACTGCATTAACCTTTCCCAATTTCATATCATTTCTAGAAACATGTGGATTAGTTTTCCGATGGTATTCCAGGTTAGCTTCCCAAATTTCTGCTACCGCAGTTGTTGATTGGTTGGTTGATTGGTCAAACCACCAACACTGACATAAAAACTTGGCAAGTTGACTTGGGTGTCACACCAATAGGTGGTTCCAATTATGTCTCACTTGCGTTTACGCAGTTATTATTATTAAGTACTTTTCTTGGTTATTCACATTTTGTCTTCAATCGAGGACCGCCTGCCCAGTACTGACGATGCCCAATAAGCTAAAACAGCTGTCTACCAGTGGCTTTTAAATTGGAATCAATATGGAAATGATCAGAATAGTACTTATCTATTTATCTTTTGATTTTCATGGAATTATTTTCCAGCAGCTTGACTGTATTAACCTTTATAATGCATATTTCCAAAGCCCACACTAGTATGTATCAAGAGATTCACATTTCTGAAGGTATCTCTACACAATTCTTTTTTTCAAGGTCAGCAATGCACCTCATTATTTCATTTGTTAAATAAAGATTTCAGAAGACAACATTGAAATTCTCCATAATCCCACTCCGTATCTGGGTAGATTTCCACTTATTCGTTATAAGTCAGTCAAGTGTGACTGAGTTGAAACCAATTTAAGATTTCTTAATATATAGTTGATGAAAGATAGTTCAGCAATAAACGACTTGTAATGATCCTTCCAGTTAAGGAAAATCTGTTTTTCTGTTAACCATCTGTCGTCCCCTTACGAACGACAACCTCCAAAATTCGAAACTTCTGAGCCGAGGATTAACAAGGTCTTACCTTTTAACGTACGATTCCTACGTATGGGTTGGACGTAAGGCAGTGAAAATCTATCGTCTAACCTCGTAGCTCGATCCACCGTTTCACCTGGCGGTCGATTGAATGAGTGAAACAAACCACTCACGCCAACCGAAACGGCCACTGTCCCACCAGGAATCTATTAATAAACCTAATTATTTCCACCTATTATTGGTCATATTCATACTCTTTGGTATCTTTTGAGGAGTTTTGATCTATACGCCATTTGTTCAATCTGCCTTGAAAAAGAGGAAAATGCTGACAAAATAGTTAACTAACTGGTTGAGGATCACTCACACGTTTCTTCCAACACAGTTTGATTTTCATGAGATATTGTCAATTTACTATCAGTTGAAGGTGGATAATTCGTGAATATATAAAATGAACAACACCGGATCAAGAACAGAACCTTACGGTACTCCCATATACGAAGAAGGGAGACTAACGAATTGTGAATGACACTTAATGAAGGATTAAATCCATTTCAGAGCAACTCCTCTTTACATAGATCACGGTGCTTATGAATCAAACAAGATGTTTCCAATATAAAAATAGAGATCACTGTGAGGATTTGGTGACTTTTTAAAGTATTCTTTGCACGATTTGCGACTCTTAATCTTGAAGAGGGCTCTAATGGCTCTTTTTTGTACAACTTGGATCATCTGTAATAAATTTTTATTGCATGCACCCCAAAAAGCAATTGCATAACCTATATGTGATTCAATATTACTGGAGTTTTTTCCCAACACCAAATCGAGGAAGATTAAAACTATAATCTTCCTCTTTGAAGATGATCACTTGGTGATCGAAACACGTGTCGAGGTGTTAAAAATAACGATTTGGTGTGGGGAAAAAACTCCAATAATATTCACTTATGGAGATAATTTATTAGGTTATCAAAAAAATCATAAACTGTAGGTATTGATGTATTATCTCCCTGGAAACCATATTGACATCTGGAGGGGATATTTTCTTCATTTAAAAAAATGCTTGATGTTCTAGAAATTCATGTTTGAAAATTTCAGAAAAAGGTTTGTTTTAGTAATGAATCCTCCCAAAATTTGCCAATTTCTAAAAATAGATTCAGAATAAATGTCAATGGTTCGATTACTGTTTAATACTTTTTTTAAAACGAATGCAAGTAATTCTTCACGACCTGGCGATATTTTATTCTTTACTTTAAATAATCAATAATGAGAACCATTCTATAGAAGAATATGGTTCTGAAAAGATTTAAATTTTATTTTCAAGTTCCATTGGAGCCTACAATTGCAGCCGGATTCTCAGTTTCTTAATCTTCATAAATAATGAAAATATTTTTACGTTACAAATTACCTAGTACTTTCCAGGCACTCTTTCCAGGATCCTCAAATATTTTCTCAACCTTCCCAAATTCACTCTCAGGAAGTTTATTCCCTGAATAACAGTCTGCTATTCACTGTTACCAGGTGGCTAAAGTTTTTGCAAACACTGATTACATAGAATTTTTATAATTGATCATGAAATGTTTCATTAAAAAAAGTTTGGAGAATTTCGTTTTTACATTTGGTTTCACCCTTTTGAGTCGGTATCAAAGATTTAAGAATTGGATTTGAGCAAACAGATAATAAAACTGGCTTATTTTTTCCAAAAAACACTTCTTAGAGTTGGACAATCGGGCTTTTATTTGTTTTGTGAAATTATTATATCATCTTGCTCTGGATAACTATGTGCACAAAAATAAAATCTTTGTGACTGTTGAGTCTATGACTTTTATTTGTTGATAATCGTAAAAATTGTTTGTTTATTCACAAGTGAACCATAACACTATCCACATCATTCCACAATCAATTAGCTGTCGATAATGACATCTGAAATATGTGTCAAATGAACTGACAAGCATATCACCTTCTCTCATATGATAATTTTGTATATTTTGTTATTTATGTTCAGATTGTTGAAGATGGAAGTGCCCCTGATACAACGTGTACTACTCCTGATTGGGATAAGCAATCTTCTAGTAATGTCAGTGAAGTTTCCGTTGCCTGTTTGCAGGATAAGATAAATCAAATGCAAGAAACTCATTATAGGTGAGTACGATGATCAGTATATTTTCATTAGCCATCACCTCTGTATGTGAGTATAGCTACAATTCTGACCAACTATGTTTTGAAAAAATGTCTGTTCATTCTTTCTCCGAATCATTTCTGATAATTTTTTTGGTTCTATGAATATCTTACTGTACAAATAATGAAAAGGATGTTATACAAATGTGTAGATCAATGGTGATAGAAATTCAGCTTCAGCAAACCTTGCACAAAATGTGCTTATTCAACATCACATTTTCATTGGAATTCAACAGACTCATTTATATTCAAGAAACTAATTTAAATTGATTCAAGGATAATTTCAATAGACTTTCTGAACTATTTATTTTATGGATATATGAAAATAAGTATTTCCACATACCTAAACTTTGTTGTTGTTGCATTAGCAATGTTTAGCTGTAGCAATTTCTGTACTGTAATTTGAAAGTTTTCAAAAATTTCTAATTTTAAAATCAATTCAAGCACTAACGAAGAACTTCAAGCCACCCTTCAAGAGCTCACAGATCTACAACGCCAACTTACAGAGCTTCAGCAGGAGAACGAACGACTCAACGACGAGAAAAACTTGATGTTCGACAGCCTCTGTCGGCAAACCGAACGATTAAACGATTCACGATCAGAAGTGGAATCTCTGAAGCAGCTTCTGTATCAAGAAAAGGACGACACAGGTCAATACGAATCAGCAGTAGAACGTGAACAAAAGCTTGTTGATCTCCTAAAATCTGCCCAAGAAGAAAGGGAAGCCCTTCTTGTCAAAATAGAGCAACTCACTAATGAAACTCAGGAAAGTAGAGCAGGGAATATTTCCAAAGACGAACAAATCGGACAATTACGAGATCGCGTGCGAACTTTAGAATGCACCCTTGATGCTAAACATGCGGAGCACAAGCTCTTAGACCAGGAATTGGCCCAGGCCAAGGACCAGTGTAGCGCCAAACAGATTGAAATTAATAGGTTGACGGATCTGTTAGATAATGCAAGAACCAAGGTGAGTAAGCAAATAACATTTCATAAGTGCTTGTTTAGAAAAAATAGTTCAACCATTTGTGTAAAATAACTGGTAGGATGATTGAAACTGGTCTGGTATAGTAGTGATTAAAAGTTCATTTTACTAGATATTGACCTTCCACATATTTTTTTCTCATACATATACTCAGGTTTTAATGATATTGTCAAATATCTCAACTGAGCTGTGTGGACTTATTATTTATATATTATTGTGATAATCAAGACTATGTATGACTTCATGTTCCTGTCAACAAAATCGTAGAGGATTATTGTTAGACATATTGTTTATTTGCTCACATTATGTAAATTACATTTGCGACATGTGAGGTTAGGTACAGAACATGCACAAAAATTTTCAAGAATTTTTTTTAGAGAAAGTTTGCCGAAATCGAGGATTTCTCATTGGTTGTGTTCATGTATGTCACTCTGAGTCTCAAGAGCCATTTAATGTTTGTGTACCTCTAGTGAAATGTTGAATAATTGATGGTGCAAGTTTTTAAAATCAACTGTTTGTAAGTTGATGTACATCAATTGACTTCTAATTATTCCTAAATTCATCAGTGATGACTCGTTCGTATATCCATCGCTGAAATCAATCGGTACAGATCCATCATGATAAGAAGCTGATGAATTCTGATGGATGACCTCCCTACCTCCTTTTGAGTAATTTGAGGTTACGGTCCTAAGGCCTTACAGTTCAAAGACAAAATCAACCTAATCTTTGACAATTTTCTATTTGTTTTGGTTATTTTTCATTTCAATAATATTATGTTAAACAAGGAGATGAATAATGTTGTATAGCATATGTTGTCGTACTGAAACAAAAAACTTTGTTGAATTTAAGATGCATTTTAGTTTGAGGCAAATGAATATTGAAGTAATCCATTGATGCTACTTATAGTTTATTCATCCCAACTACATTGTGGGATCTGAACAAGTCACACAAATACATAAGTTACATTAAATGGGTTCATACATATTATTCACTAAATGAAATTCTTATTCATATTGTATATAAAAAACAAATTCAATATTTGTTTTTGAGCCTTTCTCAAACAGCTTGCAAATATAAAAGGCATATCAATATTCCTTTACTTCATGGCTCACTATGAAACCTTTTTGCAATATTTGGCTGAAAAACTGCAAAAATAAGCATAAATATCCAAAAAAATGCATGCATTTCCTGTAAATTTTTAAGAAATATTTAATCTTCAAAAAATATTGTTCTGTACTTTTTTGAGACATCTCTGATGGAGAATTGTATGATCTTACTCTGATGATGTTTTCCTGAAGAGAATTCTAGAGAAATACATGATTGAATTTGTTATGATGGTTTTTTAAATTGGTGAAAAAAGTTGAAAAAAATGGGATGATGGTATCCAATGAACCGAACTTATTTAAAATTCTTTCATATCAGATCATAACGAACAGAAACAGCCGGGTTCCTTTGCCTTGTTTTCATATTATTTGAAATGGAGGTAGTAGAGCCAACAAAATCCGGCAATCGATAGTTGCGATCTTAGAAAAAATGCTTCTCAAATAGGCAAGTTCTGTTTATTTTGAATTTGCAAATGTTACAATTTCCCAGTAAAAGTAGGATCAGTCAAAAAAACGTTCTGTATAATACCATAATTCACATGATTATGGTTCAAGACTATAACCATAACAATATATATAACTAGTCTAATACATAATGAAACAAATAAATAAAACAAGCATGACAATAACAACAAGAATAATATACTGATATGGTGAGTCAATTAATAAACACGGCTTCAAAAACCATATTTAGAAGAGAGTGTTTCAGAACACAGTATAGGTTTTTGAATGTTCAATTTATGTGAAGAGATAATTGTAGATTTTAGAAACATTATGAATGCATGACTTTTTGGTCAAATTTTTTTATAATATTGTACTAAACAGGGTGCACTTCAAGTGAAAATTGTACAGTTTATAAAGTTACGTTTGGAAGAATTGAATGAGTGTGTCATAATGGTAAATTGATGGGTTTATTAGCACTTTTCAATTCTTTTTGCTGTTTTGGTTTTCATTTAAAACTTTGCTTCATTTTAGATCAGTGAATTAGAGCAAGATAGAGCTTTGAGTGACAAATCAGAATTGGATGAACTACTCGATAATGCAAGAAAGGAAAAAGACGCCCTTGAATCTGAAGTTGCTCATTTGAAAGAACAATTGGCAATTGGCAAAAATGAAATTGAAAAATTGAAGGAACAAGTTTCAATCCTACAAGAGGAATGTAAGGTAAGATGATTTCATGTGTTAACTTTTGAAGAGATTAATTTATAGGATGAATCAGTTTCCATCTGAAATACAGGATGTCCTCTAAAATTGTATCTATTATATATGTTAAACAATTTGAAAAGCCTAATTGGAGAGTGGTTCAATTTCTATTTCTGATGAACTACATTACTTTTTAGAATTAAATGACAACTCTCAAAAGTCGAAACTTGTGCGATCTTAGTAAAGCTCTGGTCAACTTTACTCGGATCAAATGAAACCCCTATCTGCCGAAGCGGTTCATTAAAAAAATACGAAAATCCCCAGTTTTTAAGTACATGAGTTTTACAACATAAATTAAATAAATATTATATTATCATAACGTACATATATTGTTTCCAAAAAAAAAAAACAAAATATAACCTACAATAATTCATTTTCACTACACACACAAAATTAATAAGGTTATTCTTATATGTTAATGAGTTAACTGAAAAAAATTTTGTTCGAAACGGCTGTCCTCTCCTTATTTTTAATAACCGGTAATTCACAGTAGCATCAAAATTAGACAACAATAATATTTTCTGGGAAAAATCTCCATTTTTTGACAAGATGAAGCTCTTAACACATTACTTTCTTCCAGTAGAGCAACGGTCAGATGAGATATATTCTGGTGGATGGATTTGTTGAAGCATCTTTCAATTTATACTGACTCAAAATATTCTTTCAAATACACTTGATCTTAAGTTACCTCTCTTTTCCTACTCAACTCATTAATAGCTTAGACTTTCAACTCGTAAGTTTCGGTTAGTTGAATATCATTTTCCATATAAAAGTATAAATAGGTCAGAGACTACTAAAAACTATGCAGAGGTGGGTAAAAATAAAAATAATAATAATGTTATTTCGCAGGTCACAAGAAATAACGCTAAAACTACACAATCTGATCTCGAGTACAAATGTGAAAAACTTCAGCAAGATAAGAATGTGATGAATGATCAACTTCAAGAATTCCAAGAAGCTTTGAATGAATTACAGGTATGACCTCAAAATAGGCAAAAGGTATTTGATTTATTTCTATTTATTTTTCCAAAAAAGGTCCAAAGTCAGTGTCAACTGGAAGACAAAAGGCAATTATCTTCAGTTCTCTCCGAAACCCAGAGGAATCTCAGTGAAGCTGAAAGAAAAAATCAGAATCTGGAGAATGATTTAGAAGAGCTAAAAAAACATATAGCTGCAGAGGTTAGTGCATAATTGGTTTTGTTTGGATGTGTCTGGCTATTTATGAACTGTTATTAGGAAAACGATAGCTATAATTATTTATTCTCAGTAGATTAGGTACTATTTGTGCAATAAGTTAATTTGTTTCCAGAATTTCATTCGTTTGGGTATTTCGTCCATAATTATTTTGAATCACAAATAGTGATTGTACAAATTCAGGCTTTCGGGTCCATATTTTGAAAATGTTTGTGGTTTTGGATTTGTAGGCCTCTGTCTCTTGGAATCTCTTCCCGAATAAACGTTGAATAGACGAAGAAATTCCAACGACAGTCTAAAAACTCAAAACCACAAATATTAATGGTGTTTATTGAAATACATTTTTTTTATCCAGACTGCCGATTGGGAAAAGTTTCAAGATGATTTGCTTACTTCAGTGCGAGTAGCAAATGATTTCAAAACTGAAGCCCAGCAGGAGTTGCAACGAATGATTTTGGAAAACAAGGCCTTCAGAGACAGAGAGAAACAATTGAGAGCAGAAATTGAGAAATTGAAAGGTAAGTGGTCATTCCTTTTTGGGCTTTTGTCAGTCTGAGCATAGAAATGTTGTATTAATGTTCGTCAAAGTTACAACTAAACCGAAATTGTTTGTGGTACGGTCTATTCGTGAAGTTGTCAATGCCTAATTATGTGCTTTGAAAGTTGTAGCGATATCTTCAGTATTTCGCTTTCTGTGTCTGTGTTGTGAGTGATGGAGAAATAAATCAAGGGTTGTTTCACCTTACTCTATTTTTTTGTATAAAAACAGGCGAATCAATAAAACGAGGGACGACAAGGAGCACGTTGTCCTCAAAAAATAATCAAAAACTGGATATTCTGATAAAACGTCCAAGTAAAAATATTATCGTCGAACCAAAAAAGAGAAGGGACAGTAACAAGGTACAAACAAGCAGTCCAAAATCCAATAAAGTTCCGCTTGATGCATTTTCACGCCCAGTGAAGAAACGAGAAATCAAACCATCTAAACAGAAAAAGCTCAAGACGCTCTCTGTAGAAGAAGAAACTCTACTCAAATCCCTTGATACATATAATCAGAGAATTGATAAGAATATTCCTGACGAAAATTTAACAGAGGAACAGAAAGTTATTCGAAAACTGAAGGTTATTTATGAAGACGAGCTGTTAAAAATAAAACCTGTAGCACCAAAAGCCAAAGATCAACTTGCTATTAGCAAACCACTCTTGGATTCTGTTCTTGGTAATCCTAAATTGTTTGAAATTGTCAGAAACCCAAATGTGAGAACGATAGAAGATATGGCGACTTTTGCCAAAGATACTCCTGAAATCAGAACTTTGATTCAGGGTATAGACAGAACTGCCAGAGGAAAGAGTGAAGATGTGAACAGATTGAGCCCTAGGAAGAGAATATCCCTCATAGGCCGTAGCATGAGCTGCGATGATTTGTATGATTTAGATGATACTGATTATAACTCTTCATTATATAGAACTTTTGAGGCTGAGGATCTGACAAGAGACATATTACTGTCCATTCAACCAAGAGATTCAAGTATTGTACCCAGCGATTCAATTTCTAATCTGAGATATTCCGACTTTGCTGTTGTAGTAAATGAAGATAAAGAAAGAAAATTGACTCCCGATTTGAACTATTCATCTCTAGAGAAAATAGTGAAATCCATTCCCAAAGATATTCCTCATTCAGAACTTACCAAGGAGCAGAAATTTGCCTTAAGGCTATTACAAACTTTGAATTTGAACTATTCATCTCTAGAGAAAATAGTGAAATCCATTCCCAAAGATATTCCTCATTCAGAACTTACCAAGGAGCAGAAATTTGCCTTAAGGCTATTACAAACTTTGAATGAGGAAAAATACCCCTTAAAGAAATTACCAAAAGCTAAAAATTTGCCAATAAGTATACCCACATATGAATCCGTACTGAACAACCCGAAATTGGAGAAGATATTACATGATCCTGATATTACAGAAGTTTGTAGGAGAAATTCAGATATTGCATCCCCTACATTCACCACCGATGTTTTGAGAAATAGTAAAAGTTTTGAAGACATTAGCTTTCGATTTGGTACTAATAGAGCATTTGATAATGAATACAATAATGAAGTTGCGTCTTTAGATTCAAGCGATTTTTCAAGTGCAGAATTTAATCTTGACACAGGTCTTACTGGTCCGTATGATCCAACATTTTTTGAGGGTTGTCAGCAAGATCAATTTCATAATTCTTTAGGTATTGAAGATAATATGTCTGCTGAATATCATTCTGAGGGTTGTAAAAAAGTATATTTCCACACATTTTTGGGAACTAATGCAGAACAAGAAGACAGTATGTTTTCAAACCCCAATCAAGAAAGTAAACGGGATGGGACTTCTAAAAAAATAAAAGCAGAACTAGAAACAGAAAAAAGAAAAGAAAGTAAAATTGGTGAAAATGATGAATCTTTGACATACTATGACACGTTGAATAAAGTAAAACACAGAGCTGATACAGAAATATCTGATGTTAAGAAAAACTCCCTTAAAGTAGATCTATTGCAAGAAAAAATCAGGAAAATTGTCAGAAATGATGTTCCTCGTAGTAAATCTGAGGATACAAAAATAACAAAACAGAGATCATTCATTGATATTGAAAATAGAGTTATGAAGTCGAATCAATATGATTCGTTGGTTTACAATGAAACTTTAAATAAAAAATTGAAAACTGATACTAAATCAGATACAGATAGATTATCACCTACAAATACTCTATTGTTAAACCCTAATGAGATTTCTACAGGTGCTATTGATATTTCAAGTAAGCCAAGTGTACCAGACCTGACCGCAATGATTTACACTATAGAGAAACCAGAATATGATTCTTTGACTAAAAAGGAGACAAATAAAAATATAAAGAAAAATGAAATTGAAATCCAATCTGCTTTGACGGCATCCAAAATTTATGATATGAAAAATGATCATGATGAAACATTTCAAAAGATAAATGAAAAATTAGAAGTTATTCATAAGCTGATCAGCGAAGATAAAAATAATGGAATTGAAAATAATAAAACTTCAAGTGAATTCGTTACACGCGACGATGGAGAACATGAGGTTATTTATTCTGAAAAAAATGCAAATCTTGGAGATGAAATGTATCTACTTTCTGAAAAAATTGAGACTAATACTCCAGGATTGTACGATAATGGAGAAAATATTACAAATACTCATTTTGGCAGTGAAACGTTGAAAGAGTGCTATTCTGACACCACTGACGCAATATATGTTGAAAATGAACCAACTAGCCCTGAATATGATTATCATGCTATTTTGAGAGAAAATAGATTTGGTGTCAAACCTCCACTGAATTACAGGCTCAGTTATAAAGATGTGGTGAAACAAATTAAAAACAGATTTTCAACTGATGACCATAGAGTTGATGTAAGTGAAAGAAATGATTCAGATTCTGATACTTCCAGAAATGTTTTTACTCTTAGACGAACATGTGGTATGGAATCTTTAGACAAAGAGCAACATTTTGAAAATGTAACAAAAATTGATAAAGAAATGGAGGATATATTCCAAAATTATTTACATACTCGGGTTTCGACTATAATCAAAGAATCTGAAGGTAAATCATCTGGAAAAGAGAATGTTTCATCAGACTATTCTCTTCATGTTTCAGCTGCTGAAAATTTTCAAAATAAACAACTTAGAGATACTAATAACATTACACTAAGAGATGAAAATGTTACGCCCTTAAATTTTCCCGTCCCAAAACCAAGAAAGGTCTACTTGGAGAACACAATCATTTCCGATGTACAAGTTTGTAATCCACAAGAACATATAAAAGATGAAGACGATATCCAGAGCTTTATTATGGAACCCAAAACAACAAATACAGAAGTCGACAGATTTTCAACTCCTTTTGATAAGACTCAGCAGGAAGCCTTTGATGAAATAAATACAACCCAGGACACCAAAGATAAACAACCTAGTTATGAACTTCCATTGATTTCTCAGTTATATGTAAATGTCTCCAGCTTTAATGAAGGCACTGAATTTGAAGAACACATTATTTCCAACCAACAAACAAATAAACATGAGGTTGCAGATATTTCTGGCAATCTTCTTCCATATTCAGTTCAGGTGAACAAAATTAACAGCCCCCTGAAAGAAGAGTTACCTATTGATGGTATTTCAGCAATAGTACCAATTCCTTCACATTTACACACAAGTACACCTCTATCTTCTCATCAACAAGAGAATCATATAAGTATGGTTATACCAGATACAAGGTTAACACAATACACAAGTTTGGGCAAAGATTCAGAACAACAATCGGAAGTTGATTCTGTTACTAATAGTCCTGAAAAAGTTGACCTTCAAAAGTCATCTGATAATGATCAAGCAAGCAATACCCCTGAATTTGTTATGAAAATAGGAAACTCGGAAGAAATTTCAGTTTGGAAAGAACTTTATGATGGGGAGTTTTTAACTGAGGAAGAAGTAAGCCTCATTTGTCAGGCGAAAAAAAAGCAAAGGCCTTCAAGGCCGTTATCTGATATCAATGAAAATGATCTTAAGTTTATCAAAAGAATATCCATGGATTATTCTTTAGAGAATCTTCCAACATCTCAAGACTTAACAAAATTGGAGGTGTTGAATCATAATGATGAAGTTTTTAAAATCAACGACACTGAGCTTGAAACTTCACACCAATCTGCAGTTAGTTCATTTTATGATACTCCCTCCATGAACGAGACTCAAAATGTTCATTCTGTTACAGAAAACAAAAACGAACCTAAAGATGTCTATGTTTTAGCAGATTCATATGAATTGGCCAAAAAAGACAATTATTCGGTCTCAGAAGAGCAGAAAGATTTACCAACACTAACTCTTGATTCTCCTGTGAGTTTTCCTATAGCTTTTCCATTGGATGACATTTCATGTAGTGACCATCTAACATCGTCAAATAGGCCTAATAAGAAAAATTCTGAAGATCTAATTATTACATCGCCTGAAAAAATTTCTTCAGAATCTTCAAATTATCTGTTCACTTCAAGTGACAAAAACATCAAAGAAGTAAAAGACGTTATTGAATTACCTTCAGCAGATCCTGCATCCAAAGATTATTCTGAAAAAACGAATGAGAAACACCTTGCAACTTCGAACCCATTAGAGAAACCTGATGATTTGGAATCCATTTTGCTTAAAATGATGACCCGCTCAGTGGGTCCTAGGAGCAGAATAAATGCAAAGAAAACTCAAGAAATGGTATATAAAGAAAAAGAAGGAATCCCAATGATATTAAGTGAAAATGTAATTAATGACAAACAACAGAAAAGGTTAACTTTGACAAATAATAGTTCATCTTACGACACAGAACAACTCAGGACAACGCCCCAGTTGAAAGGTCAGACTACTACTTCATATGAAAGCAATAGCCAAGTTGAACCTGTGCCAGGAGAAAATTCAGAAAAAAATAAGACCTCAGTTCAGATGCGAAAAAAAAGACCTGTGTCTGGATCCAAGGTTGTTAAATCTTTTGCTCAACATTTCGAAAGACTCTCTTTGGATAAGGGAAAAAAGGTTCAACCGGTTCACGCAATCAACAATTTAAAACCAAGAAATACAAGTGTAAGCAGAAGTTCATTTTCATCTTTTTCTCAGAACATAAAAAAAGCCCTGCCTGTTCCAAGATCAGAAGATCAAGCAAGCAGTGAACCTAATGTCAGATTAAGTGACATCTCTCACAATGTTGACAGTGGCAAGGACATAGAAGTTACAAAAATGTTGGGAAATCAGAAAAATTTCAGTGATAGTGAACATACCGTGCCTCATATATCGGTCATAGAACCCCAAAAAGAGATCACAGAAGTTCCGGGACTCCACGAATCTCATAAATCACCTGCAGAAATATTGCAAGAAGTAGTACAAGAGGATTTGGGAAAAATTATGTCTACAAGTAATATTGAAAAGAAGGATGAGGTGGATGACCAAGAAGACGTAGCGAGTGGGGTAAGTGTTTTACAGAATTCATTTTGTATTAATTTATCATTATAAACGTGTACCAATCAATAGCAGTTGAACTCGGATTAGAAGTGACTTGCTGAAGTCCTTTCTGAAGGGAAAAGTAAAAAAAAAAAATAGAATAAAATCTTATGCTAGAAACTACATAATTCAGTAATAAATACAACTCTCCCTCGCTTTAAAGTTTTCTTATTATCTTTTTTATTTCTGATTGAATCCTAATGTTCAAAGTTTTTCACATAAAATTGTTCACAATACTGGGAAGTTTATATTCATGTTCATTACTTAATCGAAAATCAATTTATTTATGGACAATATGATATCGAAGAGAAACTATGGTTATCCAAGCTAAGTAGCTGTAGTTCAATGAAGAGATTGCCTTCAAACGTTTTTCTCATAACTGCAGTGGACATATTTAGGGGTAGTTGGCAGAAATGCATTGTGACCTCCCAGTTTGAAAACTATATACAGGGTGTTCCCAATTGAGTCGACACCATTGCCAACTCCGTTATTATTGATGCTACGAATTCAGTTGAATGGGCAAACTTATAGCGTTTTAATGGCCTTCTAAATGCCGAAAACAAACAAAAAATGGACAATAATTTATTCAACATCATTCACAATACAATAATTATTTGGAAAGAGTCACTGAGAGAAGAAATAAAGTAAAAAATCACGATACGATCGCTGGAAGCTAGACGAATATGCAGATCACTTGTGCCATGTTTCAAAATCATTTTCATATATACAGAGTGCCCTTTGAAATTTGTATATCAAAGTTATGTTTTTTCGAATGAAATGTTTTTCCATTCAATTTTTTCATTCTACATTGATAATTGAATAGAACTAACTGGCCGATACTTGATGAAAATCCACATTAAAAAAAACTAATCAATACAGTTTATTGTATGATTTTCACTATAAAAGGGTTTTACAAAAACCGCGACACGTGTTTCACTATACAATAGCTTCCTCAAGCATAAACTGAGAGTCACTTCTGAATTACAACCATTTTATACTCTAACCTAGTACTTATGATGCACTTTTTGGAACCTTTGGTGTAGTAAAGAATATTACTGGAGTTTTTTCCCAACACCAAATCGTTATTTTTAACACCTCGACACGTGTTTCGATCACCAAGTGACCATCTTCAAAGAGGAAGATTAAAACGCGTGTCGAGGTGTTCAAAATAACGATTTGGTTTTGGGAAAAAAAAAACTCCAGTAATGTTCTAACCTAGTACCTAAATAATGAATCTACCTGAAAAGGTCAGGTATGAATTCATTAACAATATCAATATTTTTTTTTTCGAAAGTAAACCTGTAAATATACCTAAATATTTTTACTTGCAAATGAACAGATTCAATAATGGCGAATTATTCATTCAGTTTGATCGTACATAAGATATTGAGAGTTTTTGAATTTTTCAAACCTTTCTTCTGGAAATGGAGGGGTTTGTATTCATGGTTAAACTCATGTCTCTCTGAAATTAAATGACTGGCATATGTGGAATTTATTTTTCCATTCTGAAAACTATATTTGTGTTCCTTTATGCGGGCTTTAAACGTTCTTCAAGTTTGACCTATATAAAACTCGGAGATGACCCACACGATAATTTATACACTCCTGATTTTTCTAAAACTGAACTTTTATATTTGTTATTCTTAATGTGCATGCCTAGGTTGTTGTTGGTTTTGAAAGCAGTATTTACGCGAGCTGAATGTCATAGCCATGAACAATGAAGAATATGTGGAGAAGACTTTAGACTTTCTAAATGCTGTCATGTAGGATAGTCTCAGAAACGACCCCACCCATTTATATCAGAAAAAAGTCAAGGAAACTTTGAAAAATATTCATATTCAAATATTCAACCACCTAAATTGTATTCGTTGATGAAATTACACAAAGATAACTACCCGATAAGACCGGTAGTTTCTTTCGTCACAGCTGCTTCAGTTACAATATCCGAAAAACTCATTGCAATTATTCATAACCACACCAATTTCAAATCAACATTCAGTTTGAGGAATTTGATCAATGAAATTCAAGATATTACACTCCCGGATAATGCCAAATTGATTTCATTCGATGTAAAGAATCTGTTTCCCAGTAAATCTCCGAACAAAAGGATTACTCCAGTGGAGAATCTATTGGACGAAAACTCTATCAATCCGGTAGTGAAAAATGAAATATTAGACTTGCTTACGGTGTGTTTGTCACAGAATTACTTACAATTCAATGAAACTTTTTACTCAGCCTGCAAAGGTCTCATAATGGAAAACCCACTTAGTCCTATTCTGGCAGAGATTTTCATGGACGATTTGGAGAGAAAAATACACAGTAACCCACTGGTAAGAAGTTTCGCGTATTGGTATAGATATGTTGATATTATCCTGGTATGTTTCACAGGAACGAACAGACAGTTGACAAACTTTTTGAAGTCCATCAATTCTCTCCACCCTTCTATCACATTTACAATGGAGATGGAACAGGACGACTTTATAAATTTTTTGGACTTGACAATAACAAAAGTTAACAACAAATATGATTTTTCAATTTATTGTAAACCGGCACATACAGATATTAATTCATAATTCATCCACTCACCCATATCAGCATAAGGTAGCAGCTTTCAACAGTATGATCCACAGACTGACCGTCAACAATGATTACGATAGCGGTCTGATACATTCTCTATTATCAAAAAAGTTATACAGTCAAGCTTTGAAAGAGGTTTACCCAATTCGAAGAGAAGAGGATAAAAGTTATAGAACCTTAACCTACTTAGGCCAACCCACTACAAATATTTTAGATTTTATGGACAACAAAGGTGTAAATACTGCTTTAAAAACCAACAACAACCTAGGTATGCACATTAAGACTAACAAAGATAAAAGTTCAGTTTCAGAAAAATCAGTGTATAAATTATCGTGTGGGTCATGTCCGATGTTTTATATAGGTCAAACTGGAAGAACGTTTAAAGCTGGCATAAAGGAACACAAATATAGTTTTCAGAATGGAAAAATAAATTCCATACATGCCAGTCATTTAATCTCAGAGGGACATGAGTTCAACCATAAATACAAACCCCTCCATTTCCAGAAGAAAGGTTTGGAACTTAAACTGTTGGAGAGTATGGAAATAAACAAATTCAAAAACTCTCAACATCTTACAAACGATCAAACTGAATTGAATCATTCGTCATTATTGAATCTGTTCATTTGCAGGTAAAAATAGTTAGGTATATTTACAGGTATACTTTCGAAAAAAAAATTATTGATATTGTTAATGAATTCATACCTGACCTTTTCAGGTAGATTCATTATTTAGCAACTAGCTTAGAGTATAAAATGGTTGTAATTTAGAAGTTAATCTCAGTTTATGCTTGAGGAAGCTATTGATATAGCGAAACACGTGTCGCGGTTTTTGTAAAACCTTTTTATAGTGAAAATCATACAATAAACTGTATTGATTTTTTTTTATTCTACATTGAATTCTAAGAAGACTTTTATTAGGTTGTTCCAAAAGTTTTGTTCGTTTTTGAGTCTATTTTAAACTATTATCGCACTTTTGCCAACTTAGCACAAGTCGATAATTTCCGTCAGCATAAAAATTGCGTGCTTGAGGTTCGATGAAGTCGACGAAGGCCGTTTTTGCCTGGTCCTGATTGGTGAAGGTTCTACCGGTGAGAAAGTTATCGAAGTGCTTGAAAAGATGGTAGTCAGTTGGCGAGAGGTCTGGGGAGTATGGTGGGTGAAGCCAAACTTTGACGCTTAATTCGTTTACTTTTCGAACGGTGATTTGTGAAACGTGCGGACGGGCGTTGTCGTGGAGCAGGATTGAACCTCTTCTGTTGACCAGGGTCGCCTACTGTTGACGCAATTTTTGGTACATTTTATCGATTTCCTAATAATAGGATTCAGCTGTGATGGTTTGGCCCGGTTGCAGAAAGTTATAGTGAATCACACCAGCCGTTGACCATCATACAGAAACCATGGTCTTTTTTTGGTGTTTTTTTTTAAAGAATACTCTGACTCTAAATTTAGGGAATTATTTCGAACAAGAGCTGTAATTTCTAGTATTATGATTGTGAACTTCGGAGTGTTTAAGATACTTTTGTTAGGTTTTATGAATTACCATTAATGTTTTCTAAATGTATACACGGAGTGAAGACAATGCTTCAATTCCAGTAAATAGTGATATGCACCTATAAATGGAATTATTTGTATTCATATGCGACAATGTTGAAAAATGTATGTATATTAGGATTATCCTAATTTCCTGAGACTCAATGGACATCTGTTCCTCATATTGTTTGTTTGTAGAGGAGCATGATCAACCCCAAGGTACTAGTCTGTATAACCATAGTTTACATTCAACTTACGGCTGTGAAAACTTTACCCAAAAAAGATCCTTTTGATGTTTTTTTTTCAATAATAAATTTTTCCATGTCTCTTTGTGATTGATATATCAATAAGTAAAAAATATATCTAGCTAAAGATTATTCGAGATTGATTGGTACCGTTTTCATGTTTCTAATTAGCATCTAATTGGTTTCATTTGCTTCATATTCAGACCTCAACCATCTACTCCACAATAGAAATTGCCGGAAAGTCAGAACAATTGGATATAACTAAACCTTCAGAAAAGGATGTTGAGGATACATTTGTTGAAAATGTATCAGATGTTAATCTTTTCAACATGGAAGCCCCGAGTTTTGATGAGTCTTACCTAAAGTTGTTCAAGACTCCAGAAGATTTAGCAATGGAACAATTCAGTGGAAAGAAGTCTAGGAAAGGATATCTCAACATCACTTACCTAGGTGAAGTTAGCGACTCTGAAAGTTTTGACGAAGTTGAAAGCGCCGAAAAAAAATTTATTTACGGAACAGATTCGAAACCAAAAATTGTTGATTTTGTACCGTTAGATGAAGGAACAAAACCCGTCTTTGAAAAAGAACACTATTCGAATTACAACACCCTGGAAAGAGAAAAAACTTTTCAAATTTTCAGCTCAGCTCCTGGAACAAAGAAGGAAAAAGATGTTATTCGAAAGCGCGAACCTGAAATAGATGCAAAACTTAAGTATCATAGTAGCATACCCAGCTTTTCAGCTGCTAAGAAAATGTTTGAGGATCTTCAAACAAAGTCTGATAATAAGACTGATAAACAGGTGACTGGAAAAGCATCTACGAATGACAGGTTGAGTAATGTTGAAATTGCCAGAAGCAGTCCTACTGGATTGGTGACAAAATCTTCCGAAGGATCGAAGAATGATAATTCATAAATATAGTCATGTGTTTTTTTTATGAAGTCCTTATTCTCAGATTTTATACTGTATTTTACCAATAGTAATGTATTTTTTGTACAGATTTTATAATAGTCCAAATATATTTTCAATAAAATATTATTTTGAGAAAATATTCACCTCACCGAAATTCTGAGAAGGAAAATCATTGCTAAACATACCTAACCTCTCTTCATTCTCAAAATGTACTCTAGGAGTTCCTTCAAATTTTTTGAGAGATGAATTTCGGTGGTGTAAATATTTGAAATATATAATTTCAACTTGTTCATGAAAGTCCTTGAATGTCTTCAAACCCAAAAACCAAATTAAGTTTGCAGTATGTGTTGAAAAATATAGAGATGGATCAAAAGATGGAAATTTGAAATATGATTTTGAATTTTTTTAAATTTTCAATAGTAGATTCTTCACGAAGAAATTCCTTTGGCAGATTTATAGTTATTCATAGCTGTTGGTAAAATTATTTCAATTTACTAATAAAATTCTTGTGATTTCCTTCTGTGTGAAAAACTAAAAAAATTCATGAAAATTGCGATATAAATAGACAAGAGTCTCTGTTCGAGAGTAACTTTGAGTGCCCTTCACTGTTCAATTTCAAGTTTTTCTTCAGTGGAAGTCGACTTGTGTATCTTGTTTGTTAAAATATAATACAGTTAAAGTAGTTTTCTTCGGAAAATCTATTTTTAACTTTCCACTACGATTTATCTGAATATGAAATAGGAAAAAGATATTACTAATTTTCAATGGGCATATTTGATTATATTGAAAATTTCTACAGTCAGCTCTGGAATAAATTTTGGACACATTTGATTGTGTAGACGACAACCAAATATTCAGCATAGGATTCGTAAAACCAAGTGTTCGTTAGAACAAAACTATTGTTGTAAAACAATTGATGTAACAGCGATATTTTGTATAAATAAATAAAAATAAAATTACCTTTCCCGCCCAATTACTTTTGCCATCGAGGCGGAAAACTCTTGGAGCTACCGGGCCATTTGACAGCAGGTGACGGGAGGCTGCGTCACCACCCCAAGAGCCCGAAGGAAGCTCTGTGCAGTCGCAAGACAGAATTTATCTCACCGAGATGCGTACCACTTCTCATACGATTGTATCCACCAGAAAACAATCACTGAACTTGAGTACTGCGGCTAAAAACGCACCTTCTGGCTTCGGAAACCAGATAGGTCGAGATAGGTCATTAGGCAGGTAAATTTGCGATTGTGTGTATACAGGATGTTAGATTCTGCAAGAATCAACTACAACTTCACTGTGTGTATGGAGCAATTTTTTTCTCAGAGAAATAAAAAATATTTATTGAATGAAAGTTTTCTCAATTAATTTTTTGATGAACCGGAGATGAAACATTAGGTGCATTGCAAAACATCCAGCGTGGGCGTCTTGTCAGCTGTAGCCGCTTGCTTACAACGCATACCCATACAGTATGCGCTGTGCCGCTTGCCGTTGGCTATTTTAAATTACTTGTATCTTAATAAATTAACTTATGTGTCACCGAATCTGTCCACAACCCTCAGAATTTACCTCACATTTCCAGTAATAGAAGCTCACAGTGAAAGATCATTTTTAAAAGTGAAAATAATTGACAATTACCTTTGATCAACACTGTCGCGAAGTCGATCAACATATTTATCATTTATCAGGATTGAATCTGAATTAAAAATTGAAGTCAGTGAAATTGTCACAAATTTTGCTAATGCAAAACCACGAAAAGCAACTTTTTTGTGATTATAATTAGTAATACGAGCGTCCAGTAATGATTCGTTTTCATTATAAGATAAAGAAAATAACGTTCGTCTCATTTCTACTAACTTTTATTTGTTACTACCGGTTTCGGTTTGTTAAACCATACTCAAGTAAACCATTCACTAGTTTACTTTACAGGTCGTTACACATAAAAAACTTGGTAGAAACCAGACAAAAGTTATTTTCTTTAGCCTATATTCGATATGAATTTCTACAAAATGAATATGTCATTAATCGAACAAGATTTGTTTTCAAATTAATTATTTTAAAACAGCTAGAAAGATGCCTTTTTGAAGTGATAACTTCTTATGGGGGTAAACCGCTTTGTAACGTAACGCATCAGTATGTCTGGCTTCCCTTTCTCCTCACTCTATCGCGACGAAGAAGTATCTCGCGTGGGCACGGAACTTCGGTCAGTCAGTCGTGCTGTTGTGAGCAATATGTCACGTCATCGTAACACGTCGAACTATTGGAGCCAAGTCTACTAATAGGAAGTTATTATTACCTAGCTATGGTGTTCATTTAGTCAATGATGGAAGAAGTAATTTTGGCGATTTTTCTACACTTTATTACGAGTTGAAGTGCCACCCAAAAAAATTTTACAACAATACAAGAATGAGTTTACACATTTGATAAAATTCTAGGGAACATAAGAAATCTGGAACCTGTTATTTTTGGAAATCGTTTAATTATGATTGAAAAACTGTTTTTAACGCTGAAATAAGTTGGTGATTGAAAGTCAACTCTCTTTCTCTCTCGATCTCTCTTGTAGTGTTTATGATTATTATAAAAATCTTAGCAAGAACATAATATTCGTTTATTATGTGAAACGTAGCTTAAAAATTATGATACTACTTTAGTGTATGTACATTATTAGTATCGTTATTTAATTCTACAAAAGTAACAATTGGCTTATGGTAGCTATAATATATGTTCATACACAAAATAATTAATAAAAGATTTTATTAATAAATAACCTTTCCTTACATTATCGTATTAATATACATAAAAGTTTAAGTAATAACCTAAGCTTTTCTCTAGTTGAACAATTTCAATATTAAATAGTTCAACTTAGTTATCACTTCTGTCGGGCGTCCTGAGACGCACACGTTTTTTTATTCTTGCAGCCCCTTCTTTCCTGAAAATGTCGCTTTACTCCTGTACAGACAGGCCAATTTAAAAAACATGTCAAACTTCATTAAACAACCCTGATCGAGTTTACACTGTACCTAATTTTGTGACAAAATAACGATAAAAAGTTTAAGGCAATGCAATCCGTGTGCAATCATTACCCTGGCACCTTCAGGCCAGGGTAATGACATGGGATTAAGCTGCACCTGCTTAGTGGAAAGATAAATAGGTGATAATGTACAATATCTCTGAAAATAAATGCAGAGCAACATGTGTTATGGTTCATTATCTAGTGGCCAATTAATTCAGTTCACAATTCATTTATAAATTATTAGTGGCAGAGAAAGAAGTATTATCGTTCATTATTTAGTTGCTAATCAATTCAATTCACAATTCATTTATAAATAATTATTAGTGGCAGAGAAACAAGTATTATCGTTCATTATCTAGTTGCCAATTAATTCAGTTCACAATTCATTTATAAATTATTAGTGGCAGAGAAACAAGTATTATCGTTCATTATCTAGTTGCCAATAAATTCAGTTCAAAATTCATTTATAAATTATTAGTGGCAGTCCCGTAAATGGAAAAAACGATACTATTCATTTATGATTACTTTTGAAAAAGAGATCATTTATTTCCGATTTTCCAGTGCCAAGTGAACCTGTTCCTTTGAGACCAACAAGCTTCCCAGGGGATGACGTTGCGCTACGAAGAAAAAATATAGCCCTCTCTCGTCAAAACAGTCGACAGTCTGTGAAATCTCTAATTGAGACCATAGAGAGTCAGGGTAAACCAGTGCTGCCAAAAACTAGTAAGTATCTTTTGTGTATGTATTCAACTCTTCATATAAAAGGTATCAGATTCATTACATGGTCAAGATAGTATTGTTTTTTGTAATTTTTTCCTTAATTGAACATATCGAAAAATATTTCACTGTGAAATTTACATGTACAGAAACTAACAGGAATTTTAAAATTCCACGGGTTTGAAGATTTTTCCTTAAAAATAATTTGCTTGTAGTGCACCTGTCACACTTCATTGCTCGTTCGTTAACTTTTGACCCCAATATTTGCCAGACATGGCTCCCTGTGACTTTTCCTTATTTTCAAAAATGACGAGAACCTTGAAGGGCCATCGTTTTACAAGAATAGATGACATTAAAAGTACGTCGCTGAAAGAGCTAAAGGCTATCCCAAAGATCGAGTTTGAGAAGTGTTTCGAGGATTAGAAGAAGCACTGGCACAAGTGCATTATATCTAATAGGGACTCTTTTGGAAGCGACAACATCAATGTAGACGAATGAATGAATATTTTATTCAAAAAACGAAAATTCCTGTTATTATTTGAATACCTCGTATACATCATTCAATGTTTTGATATAAATCTCATGCATTGCTTTTTTCCAGTTGCAAGCACAGTTTCTCGTAGCAGCTCGACCTCCTCTGTGAACTCTTCAGTTTCTGATATGAGAGGTCCTACTAGTCCCTCAATTTTACCGACACCATCTCCTGGTTCTCCATTAAGGTCGACCGATTGGTCTGAAATAAACAACAGTGTGCCCCAAGCTAAGACACCATTGAAGGAGCAACAGCCTAATAAGTTGAATAGAGATTGGAATAAAGGAGTAATTAATGGTAAATCATACTTATATGAATGTTTACAGTACAACAAACAAAGAATCAATGAAGATTTTGGGTGAAAACTTGCTATTTTTTCGACTTTTTGAATCAGCAATTTTTTTCGACCTGAGATTCTGATGAACATCGTAAAAAAATTTGAAGTGGGATTAGGGAAATGGTTCACACATGGTTTCAAATTCTTAAAAAAAAAATAAAATGTCGACAAGTAACACTTCCACTTCTTATATGGTAAGTGAGAGGGATGACATCTCTCCTTATGAAGACGCTACCTATGGGATCGTCACAGAACTTAGTCCCCGAATATCAGGCTTCGACATTGACATCCGACAAGATTCGTCATCCGTCTTTCATTGCAAGGCAACAAGTTGAAAATCAGATCCGCCATAGGTCTCATCAGTTATGCTATGGTGAACCACAAATGCATTACTGGACTTTACTATCCTCAAAGGACGTTTGTGATTCAGCCTAACGCCACTGATGTGACTTATGGCAGGTCGAAATAGCGCTGTCTGAATCATAAATATGTTATGTTTAGGTTCTGGTTTTCTATTTGTATTCATCAGGTATCTATTTTGGGACTATTGGAAAATTTGTGCAAACATATGAAAAACATTTTTTTTTCAAATTCCGATTACATAAACCAAAAATCTTATAATAATAACGTTTTTCTTTCAGAATCTATGGGAAAGACTGAAATAATCAAACCAAAAACAGAGGATGGCTATCGAGAGTCGATTTTGCAGAAGGGAATTGATTTCCAAAGAAGGAATAGCTACTCCGATCTCAGTAAGTTTTCATGTCTTCTTGGTGATATTTAACTGAATAAAAATTGGAACATAATGAATAATATTCAGTTGATTCGGTTAAATTGAGGTTGATTTTGTTCCATCCAATATTTGAACACATATTTCTTCATTTTCCTATAAATACATTTCAGGTGAAAGAAAGGATCCTCTGAATGGGCTTGTGAAGAATGGCGGTTCCAAACGTAATGCTTTATTGAAATGGTGTCAAAATAAGACCGTTGGCTATAGAAATATAGATATCACAAATTTTAGCAGTTCTTGGAATGATGGGCTTGCCTTGTGTGCACTCTTGCACACGTATTTACCTGATAGAATTCCATATGACAGCCTGACTCCACAGGAGAAGAGGAGAAACTTTTCTTTAGCATTCACGGCAGCTGAGAGTGTAGGAATACCTACTACACTGGTAAGTGATGGCTTAGGATTTGTATTTTTGCTCCGAAGTGAATTGAAGGAGCAAGACCAAAGTTTTGGATATGTTACTATTCAATTAATTTGTTATGACAGTTCAATGGGGTCAATTTACAAATTTGAAGTTTCTGGATATAACTGTTCAAATACTTTTTGTCAACATTGCATGATGTACGCTCAGAGGAATTTGTGAGGTTGCCAGGATAATACAGTGATTACTTGTACCAGTAGGGGGTTCAAAGGAAACAGTATTGACTTGAGTTGTTGTCATTTGTGAGAAAAAGGTCAAGGAGAGATGGGTTGTTATAGTTTCTGAATCTGATTGGCTGACCAATTAGATGAGAAAAATTTGATGAGATAAAAGTATAGTTAAAAAGAGAAGACTGGGCGTTATTATCCACAGGGGCAATAAGGTTCCAATTAATGTCAGGATATTTAAAGTCTCCAAAAATAATAAGATTTTTCAAAGCAAAATCAGCTAAGGCTTGTGTAAATCGACACTGTTTTTTGTTTTTCATTGTGTAAGGTTTCCTGTAGCTCATGGACTGAAAATTGATTCAGGAAGTTACTACTCAGGTTTTAGTCGTTACCATAAAACGAAAACTTCCATATTTTCTCTTAACCTAAAGAAATAACCGCCCGAACTCGATTGTGGTACAATTTCCTAGCTCTGGATAATTAAGATCAACTGATATATGGTTTAGAGGCCCAGAGTTCACTAAGCATTTTACTTCGCATAAAAGAGTAAAAAAATATCTACCATAGGGTTGACTTCTTCAAGTGATAACTTCATGGTTGTTTTTTGCTATTTTAATGATTCTATTTTGATTCACTTCATCTGACTGCTGAGATTTATTTTTTATCATATCTATATATTGCTGAAAACTAATGAAATCATTTATTTTTAGAACATCAACGATATGATCCAGTTGGAACGCCCTGATTGGCAGCATGTTATGAGTTACGTAACTGCAATATACAAGCACTTCGAAACTTAAAAGAAATTTTAATATTTAAGACATTTATTTTCTGTGATAACAGCTTTTTCAGTTTCGGAAGTACTGATAGTTTTTGGGAGTATCGAAACTATCAATGGAAAGTATACGTTGCAGTCATTATTTTGCATTAGTTTACAAGTTCATAAGGGTCAGAATTTTTTTATATTTCATCAACTAGCGTATTATCGAACGGTAAAAAACAATTTTTACTTTTATAACATGTTTTTTTACCAAAGAAAAACATAACTTTTAGTTTGTTGTAATGTTAATAGGGATTTTTGATAAATGTTTTACAGAAAGATTGTACTATGCGAAAGTATTTTGTATAAATATTTACTCACTTTTCTATAATCTAGTCATGTAGAATATAATATTGATGTATATTTCATATACAGGGTGTACTTGATTATAGTTGTTTGAGAAAGGGTTTTGAATTAGAGAGCATTTTTACTAGCTTACTTATGTGGATTTGACAATATTCTTGCAAAAGAGATCATTTCAGAATAACGAATTTGTTCATTCTTGAATGAAATATCAAGAATAATGAATCTCACATGTTTTCATGGGTGTTCCTACATGTTCATGGTCTTTTGGTTTGATATTAATATATCTCAGATCATGTTTAAGTTCCTCAAAAAATACCACTAGTGTGCAAAAGGAAAATTTAACTCATTTCAAACTTTGAATATTATTCTCTCTGATAATATGATGTTTATTCAAAACTGAAAAAAATATTAATAAGTTAGTTGTGCAAAAACCGCCCTATTGGCTTCACTGATGAGTATACATATTTTCATGTAGAAATAGACTGCTTACTCTTCAATGCGAATATTTTTATTGAATCTAAATGATATTCATCTTGTCAGTTTATTCAAATGATTCCTATTAAACAGGATCTATCTCTGATTAGTTTGAACAGTTATATGTTCATCTTGGGACAGGGAACGGCGTTTTTGATTATTGTATAATTAATTGAACCCTGCTGTATGAGAGGCATGTTTTTGATTTTTGTGAATCAAAAATAATTGCGAACTTTGGAAAAACACCCTGTATAGCTTAAAGTAACAAGACTGTTTAAAATTAAGTTGAAATTGAAATAATGTTGAAGTATACAGAAATTTTCCTACTATCAGCAATAGTTTTGGAGCAGTGAATTTGTGTGTTCACTGACAGACTATCAATAATAATTTGATTATGATTTTATAGTTACTCTGTGTTTTTCCATTAATATGGGAAGCTGTCAATTTCCTTTTGTTGTTGTATTTAAAGTTATTTTGTAATATATATTTGTGGAAAATGAAAATTGTCTAATTAATGATTTTCTTTTCTATACTGCCTTACATTTTTTATAGGTTTGTAATTAACTAATGGTGTAAAATTGTATTTGTGAATTGTAACAAAATATTTCAACCATTTACAGTACACACAAACGTTGATTGCCAAATTGAGGTACTGATGGAGTTGAAAAAGTAAACTATATAAAAACAAATTGTGCGTTTGCGCAGCGGATCTCAGCCCTGCCATGTGTCATACTGTGTGCTGTAATTCCCTGCTATACTCGCAATCAATCATTGATTAACTCTTGGTTCGACTGTCATATGACAACCCATTGCATGTTTTATACATTCAATATGTGTCAATCTAACTCAATTATAGATCGTTTCAAAACTTTCTAATGTGCTTCTTTTCGCATTTTCAAGTTCTCGGGTAGTATTTCAGGAACATTGGAAAGTATATATGTACTAGGTAGGTTAGAGAGTAATGAACAGTAAATTTTGGTTTATAATGTGTTTGACAATGCTTCTTGGTGAATTTCACAAGTTGAGACTTCCATTGTCACGAACCACTCACTTTTTGTTTTACCCATTTATTAAATAATTTTCTTTTGTATCAAATATATTGAAAAACTCTACTAATATGTGTAGGTCAGGGACAGAAATTTCTTTCAGATAGAAACTGGAAAAAAGTCATCTGAAAACACTATTTTTGATTATGAACAGCGAATTCAAACAAATTTCTTTTTCTTATAGGTTCACTTCCTACGTTCGAAATCGAATTGAAACATACATCTTTCACAAGAATGCTAGCTGAAATGTGTTATGTGGTGTGGTATCCCTCTATCTTCCATCCAAAAAGCAATTCGGTTTCTACCTGAAGGGCTGCTTTTGAAGATATAGGGAGTGGACGTTCATCCTTCAATTGCAACTACCTCCAGTCTCATAATGCCTCATCGAGAGCAGTAATAGTAACTAATACTAAAATTACCTTTTTTATGAACTTCACTCAAAAGTATGTTCACAGCTACCAATAATGATTTTGAAGCAGGTACATATCTAAAGAAAACACTACAAAAAATCGAAATTACGGCCTTTCTTGCAGTGGCTTGCCAATTAGTCAAACAGCTTCAGGTTATTTTCCCACGCGATAATTTAAATTTTTTGACATCTAAGAAATGAATTTCAATTGTATGATGTAAAGGGAAATTAAAATGTGCATCCAATGTTCAATGCAAGTATCATATTTATTTGATGATGATTAGTATCATATTTGACAGAACACCTTCCATATGTGAGCATTATTTCAAACATTAAAATGGGTATTTATCGTTCAAAGATAGACATATTCCATCTCGGACTTTTTTGTAAACCTATGAAGGAACAGTAGGTATGCAGTGAATTGTTCTGTTAAATCTCAAGACAAATAATCCCCAAATTGAGCAGTACATGGATTATTATTCAATTATTTAGTACTGAACAGTCTTCAAGGATATATAGATTCTTTACACTAGAAGTACCTGCATTTAGTTTTCGTTGTTTGGCTGAAAATAATTCCAGGTTTGACTGAAAATAATTCCGAACACAAATACAAAAGTTTTATCGCCTGTAATATAATTATGATAGAGTGGAAAAAAATGTAAGTCGACTGGGATCCGAATCCAGCTTCCTGTTTACCATCTATGCTATCGGAGTCCTTCATGCTACCTACTAGTGCATATCTCAAATCCAATCTTTCATAATTGTATTACAGAGAATGAAAACTTCCATCTTGTATTGTAGTCCAGAATTTTTTATCATTATGCAGGCATCTCCTAATGGTTGCTTTTTCATGTACAACTTTGATCGAGACTAGCACATTACTTGAAAAGGAGGCGACCAAGTATAGGTTTGGCGAATTCATGTTATTTCATGAAAACTTACACTATTTTTCACTTTCGGGTGTAGAATAGGTTTAACGATACTAATACATTTTTCAATTCCACTATGAGCATTTATAAAATGCAGCTCTTTGAGTCGCATAGCGTATGCCTGTCTCAACAAAGGGATCATTGTTTTCAGCATTCCCAGTAGTTTCATAAGGTGAGCTGCATTTGTTCCTTCACAATCAAATACTGCCACTTCCTTTGCAGCTGGATTTGGATTCCTCAGAAGAACATCATCTGAAAAAAATCAAAATAATTTTTTATCACATTATTTTTAAAATTTGACATGCACATATTTTTCTATTATATTATGTTACCATCATTTTCATCATTATTAATCAGAGCGTTTATATTTGCTTTTCCGACCATTTCTTCTAAGTACCCGGAGGAACGGAGTACGTTTTGGGGGTCTAACCCTTAAATCATCTGATATTGATGAAATGACTGCTCTATGTGGTCTACCGTGGCTCTAAAGAGTAGTTGAAGAAAGTGATTCATATACAATCACGTGAACAGCTCTACAATACCTACTTGTATTTGTTCGGAATCATGTGATAATAATTTAAAAGCCTCAGCGCGTTTTATTGCTAATAAACCACGTATGCAAAATAAAAACTCTCTTGTTTGTTGAACTATATACTAAACTACTAGTAGACTCGCTATTGAATTCTAGCAACAAGTCAAAAACAACCTGGTAAAAGCGAAGTAATGCATGCAGTCTGAGAAATATCCAAGTCCATATATATGTGCATATACTTTAAAAACATTGAATAATAATAACAAATCATGAAATTAATTATAAAACAACAACAAAATTCAAAGGCGCTCAGGGGCGACTTCATTGATTCCAGTGGCGCATTTGTTTTTTCAGCTGCAGGAAAACTCGGAAAAACCTGCAGCACCACATCATCTGAAGATCTTGATCTGCCAATATCCTTTCTTTCATGAAACAAAATGTAGGGTGTCTCCAGTGGCTCCACTAAATTCAATGCCAGAACACTTGGTGACACATTAGATGTGATGCATGAGTTTGAGGAAAACCCACATACATCGAGTAGACAGGCATATATTATACAGTGTGTAAAAGCCAAATGGAATAAATTCATCATTTCGGTTACGGTACATATTTTAACAAAATCCCGAAATAAGTCAAATTTGAATTATAATTTTACATCAAAGGAAAGATGCCCTATCTTCAGCCCCCGTCGAATGACAGGTACAACCCCCAGTTTTCATTTCCCAACACCAAATCGTTATTTTTAACACCTCGACACGTGTTTCGATCAACACGTGATCATCTTCAAGGAGAAAGTTTTAATACTACACCAAAGGTGCCAAACATTGCATCATAAGTTATGATATATCGTTTGAAAGGTCTCTCCAGTCTTCATTCACAATTGTTATCGCTTTCAAGTTTATTGCAACAATTAAGATAAAATAAATTAAAATCATGTGGTTACCGAAATTCGATAAAATAGACTCAAAACTTATTGCAATATACTCAAAACTTATTTCATGTTGAGGTATTGATGATGCGAAAGTAAGCAAAAACAAAAACCATAGCAATGTTCTTTTTAGATGGTATCCTTTGAAAAACTAAATAATTAACGCGTTGTCAACTTGTTTTGTATGTTACAATATATTAGTTGTCAGTATTCTCAGTTTTACAAATGCTTAGTTACGGAAATAAAACCCGAACACAACAGGAAGTAGCTCGCCTATTTCATGAGAAATTTTCTAATTAACCGCCCATATCTCAAGGAACAACAAGCAAAATAGAGAAGCAGTTTCGCGAGCTTGGTCATGTGGGGCAGATAAAAAAGAATCTGCCAATGCAATAAGTGTTGAACTCAAATTAGATGTGATGCACGAGCTCCAGGAAAACCCACATACATCGAGTAGACAGGCATCCACTACATTCAAAGTTGGCCATACATCGATAGTAAACATATTAAAAGAAAATAAAACGCATCCCTATAAAATGAGCTACTACTTAAGAGCTCCTGGAAGACGATTTTGATAAAAAAAACTCATTTTTGTGAGCAAATGATGGACATGTTTGATAACAATATCATTTAATTAGAAGCCGTTATGTTTTCTGATGAGTGTACTTTGTCTCTTAACGGTCATGCTAATCGGCAAAAATGCTGCTACTGGCCAACGGAAAATCCTCACTGGATGAGAAAAGAACAAACGCAATACCCTCAAAAGGTTAATGTTTGGGCAGGGATTAAAGAAAACCATATAATTGGTCCCTTTTTCATTGAGAGAAACTTGAATTGCGATTCAATTCAATTCAATCAAAATGATTTCATTCCAAGTTTAGCAGATTTATATCCTGATCCAGGAAACCCCTCAAGTTCCAGTGAATACGATATGATTTCAGCAGGATGGAGCACCACCACATTACCAAGTTAATGTCCGGCAATACATCGATACAACATTTCCTAATCGGTGGATAGGGAGGCGAGGATCGATTGAATGGCCAGCGCGATCACCTGATCTTTCATCATTAGATTTCTTTTTGGGGGGAAGTAAAGAGCAAAGTGTACAAAAGTGAACCTTCAGATTTGAATGACTTGAAAGAACGAATAACGCTTGCTATTAGGTCGGTAACGCCTGATATGTTAAAGCATGTTAGAAGACAGTTTTATTTGAGATTAGGATGTTGCCAAAACGTTCGCGGTGAACATTTTGAACATCTACTTCGTTAACATCCATATTTATTTTTCGTATTCTACATTCAATTACGTTTTGCATTACATTTCAGTTTTTGAGTGTATTTTATCGAATTTCGGTAACCAAATAATTTAAATTTATTTTACCTTAATTATTGCAATAAATTCGAAAGCGATAACGTTTTTGAATAAAGAATGAAAAGACCTTTCAGACGATATATCACAAACCTATACTTCCTATTTAAAAAATTGGGGGTTGTACCTGTGATTTGAAGGGGGTTGAAGGTAGGGGTGGCATTTTTACGTTGAAGAATGTCAAATTATAATTTACATTTGACGTGTTTTGGTTTTTTTTAAATATGTACAGTAACCGAAATAATGAATTTATTCCATATGGCTTTCACACTATATACTGCAACTGTTCATCATTTGTAGTATGAAAGAAAATCAGGGCTTTTTTCAATATCTGCAGAATTATACGTTTTTCAGTCGACCGTTTTGCCGGATAACGAAATTTCAAAAGTGAGGAATTCATGTATTATGTCATCAATGCAGAAAATCGGAACTCACTAAACATACCACATACCCGAAAGTACATTCTAGCTCTGGTTCATGATGTTTTCATTAATGTTACTGATATTAGTTAAATTAGGACCATCGGATAATTCTGTAAGAGATAGAGAGTTACTGAAAGTTGCGTGTTTTCGAGATTAGAAATATTTCACAAAGTATACAAACAATTTTCACCGGTTTCGAAACAAATTAGAAAAGATAAAATGGAATTCTGAAAGTAGTTTTTATGTTTCATCAAATTCAGCATATTAGCATAATTTCTGTTTTTGAGCCGTATTTGAAAGAATACAATTGTGAGTACATATCGTTACAAAATGAATTTCACATAGAAGCAGAATAAATCAATCGAAAAATCATCTAAAAGCTGACGTATTTGGAACAAAAAGCCAAAATTGCCACAAAATTCACTCTCTATCTCTTACCTTTTACGAGATTCTAATGGTGAATATCAAGTTTAATATACAACCTAGATGCTATTGCCAGAAAGGTAACTCTTTTCTCAAAGCACGCTTTATCAAGCAAGTTGACGTCATTAGTAGTCGAACTAATGATGAAAATGTTTGATTTATTCTACACCAGAGGTTCCAGTTTTTCATTTCACTCTCTACTTACCTACAGTAGCTCAACCAGAGCAGTATATTTTTTACTTACATATCATGAAGTATGCTTTCGGAATCAGATTAAAATCAATTTTGTCGCTGTCTGTTTCTGAAATTTTAAGAATGAATACTCTGCTGCCATCTTTTGTTAACTTAGGGAGAGGAGTCATTTTTCTGAAAAGAAAAACGAAACACAAATGAAAAATATGTGATGGAATCGGCCGATACATGATGAAAATCCATAACGTATTAAAAAAAAATTATTGTGAGATTTTTACTATATATATAGAAGTTACGGCTCGTGCATTGGAGAAACTTTTTTGGGGTACAGCATCTATTTAAAGCAAAATACGTAATATTTGTATGAATGCAAACAAAAATTGTGTATTGCCTAAAATTATACTTATAAAACTGACCAATAAAAAAACAAAAACAAGGAAAAAGGGTTGTCTTTCAGTTATTTAATATAAATGAACTCTTCTCAGTCAATAAATAATACTTTTCTCTTCTAATATAAGAGTTTTGTTAAAAATTGCTACAAATATTTTATAAGCACAAGTACTTAATTATGCTCATAAAAACAAGTCTAAAAGTAAATTTTATTGTCCATCAAGAACCAACGGGGAGGTGAGAGTCGTGTCTTGCCAGGAAAGGAAAGGAAAGGAAGGATGGGGTAGGAAGGAAGGTTAAATCTGGTTTGTTTAAGTGAATTCACAAGGCAGCCGCAAATTATTATTAATCGGCGGTCACTCAAGTTCAATATAGTCTGTGAGAGTCCCGCATTTTGAAAGGTGAATTGAATAAACACTAAAACGATATACCGAAATATTTTCCAGTTCCGTCCAAATAATTAAATCAAAAACAAACGCAGTCGTACACTAACGAAGACCAACTGGAGGCTAGCCTCCTCTAACGCTATAATTTCTGCAACTAAAATTACAAATCGGGACGTATGTCGCTGGCTAGATCGGTCTCGCGGAGTTTGTGTTTTTAAAGCGGTCGGAGGCTTGGCTCCCTTGCAACGTATCAACGTATGGCATTCATTGTTTTGGGTTGATGGTTTCTTCGTTATTCGTTCGTGGGCGGTGCATTTGAGGTTTGTTGATGCAGGATACAGTGTGGTACGTACTACGTAGTGAGTGATAGTGTTTTTTCGGGCACATTATGTATTTATATTAAAAATTAATGGTAAAGTAATGATACCCAAGTATTTTTAGAAAAAAATAATCATAATTATTTGTCAATATCTTTCAATTTATTGCGATGAATAGCCTCATATTTTATGGGGAGGCAAAGTATCCCTTGCCTCCTCTGACGAACCGCCGCTGATATATAGACACGCTATTGTATAGCACAAATGAAACTTTTAAACCAGTTTTTACTTGTACATCTCTATACTGAAAATTTACCTTGATAGGAACAATTGGATCCAGCAATTTCTTCATTGGGAACTTTGGGATAGTGCATTATGTTATGGGTTTTTTACTTTGTTAGTATAACCTATATTAATAAAAAATTTCAGTGAAATACTTACACTGCATTGAGAGTATCAATAAGATCTTTCGACACTTGCCTACGACTGAATATTTCAGGAAAATACGATTTGGCCTTGAAATGATACTCCAACTTTTGCTTCGCCCTGTCCATGTTGTGTTTGCTCCCACGTAAAAAATTACGAACTACAGATTTATCTGAAAAAAAAATTTCAAGTATGCTAAATGAGGAAGAGCAGCATTGGAATTTTTTTTTGAAACAGACCTCATAAATACAACAAAGTAATTCAAAAATATCAGTAATCGACAGCAATTTTTCTCAGGCATTATATTAGGCATAGTTTTCTATACTTTTTTATTCAATCAGTTGAATATTTGTACTTCTTTATGATAAATTTGGACCTCATATGGTTCCGATTTCTACGAGATTCTTGTTTATATGGTCGATTTCGTTCATTATTTCACCTAAAGCAAAAATCAACAGGGGAGCTTTCCCATCATCGTCTTTATTCGCAGCGCTTACTGGGCAACCTCTGCTGCAGGCAACTAGGGATGCAATTGAACCCAGGTTTGTGTTTAATAAACCCTACAAAATACAAATAAAACGAAACACTGAGTCAGATGCTACAAATGCAATATGCATATATACAGACGGCTCAAGATGTGGAGTGTACTCCAGATCACTAAGCCTCAGGATTAAGTGGGGAATGGGAAAAAATACCAGCGGGGTTCAAACAGAACTGGGTGGTATCTCAATCGCCACAAAAGAAATAACCAGGAAAGGAATTTCTGGCAAAAACATAACAATCTGCACTGATAGCAGACAAGCCCTATTAGCCTTGAACAGGCAACGTGTTACCTCAGGTAACGACTAGTATTAGAGTGCCACCAATATTTAGCCAAAGCCTCGGTAGATAATAACATTATCTCTGTAATTTATTTGAATATTAGTGTAACTACAGCTGGGAAAAAATAAAGACGATTATTATTAAGTGTGTGTTGAACTTGTATTTTGGTGTCATGTGTTCCGAGAACATGTTTTCATGTTTCTGAAATAAATTCTATTCTTATCGAAGAATCCATCAATGAAAGAGCTAGGTTAGGTAAAGGTAGGTTCCAAGTGAGTGGGTCTATTCGACCATCCACTAAAACGCATGAGGGTTTATTGTAGCTCGTGCCTATTCAAAGTCAACCAAATAAGTTCAGCTTCTCAACGAAGCTGATTCAGTTATTCAATATTTCTTTGGCGATGCTAATGACAGGTTCCGGTCCGATGTAAATGCTTTCAGGCGACCCTCCTTGCGCAATTTCATCACCTCAAAGGCCTGTCTGGAGAATTCCAGATCGGAGACAAATTGTTAAATATTTCTCTAACAGTTACTTATTTTTCAGGGCTTATTCAACTGATGAAAATTCCCTCTTTCTTCGCTTGATTCATAATACAGCAGTAAGGGATCAAAGACGGAATATTCTACAATTGCTAATTGCACCTTCAGTTCTTTCCCAGAAATAACGAACATTCCATTTTCACAGACAGAATTAACAACTAGTTCAGTCCCAATTGAGACTATTAATAACTGATGTTTGGTTTGATAAAAGCTAGCTTTATTGGAGCATAAAAGTTAATCCCTTTGAAGGTTGAATTTATATTTTGAAATTTGTTCATTTGGCTTGAATGGTGAAAGCTAAAGTTTTGAGTCTGTGCATTGTAGAAGAAAAAATAAAAACGATATGAGTTAGTGACTCTGAATTAGTATGCTTTTTGGAGATATCCGATACTATCAACCCACAAGAACGACCATACAGAAGAAATGAGAGGATTTATTAATACGGTCCTAAAGAGCAGACACGTCGAATTACTCTAAACCTTTTTTGAATAATATTTTTTCTACACTCATCTCGTTTGATAAATCAGTGACAAGAAGGTACATAGTATTTCATGAATATAATACATTATAATATACAATTTAAAATCATTCTCTATTAGTATAAAGCCAATAAAATAAACCGTTACTCAATTAGAAAACGAAATAAATGATTTTTTTAAAACTAATCTTTTCTAAAAATATATCGTTTCGATTTGTTTATAACATCTTGTCTTATCTCCACCGGAATGATCATTTATTGATAATGTCATCAATGCATTTTAAATAATTATAAAGAGAATTTTGACAGTTCTTGGTGGCCATACATATCTAAAAATCATTTTCAATAATATACTGTTTTTTCAATTGGAGTATCGTTGTATGTATCATATTATTATCGTATTGTCACAATGCCCGTATTGTGATGCCCGAAGATGCTATTGTATAGCGAAACATGTATAGTGGTTTTGTGAACTTTCAAGTGGAAATCTTGCATTGAAGTGTATTTTTTGAATACGTGTTAGTTAGTTCTTTGTATTCCTTTGTGGTGTTTTGAAACTAATATCAATTGCAAAATCTCCTAATCATTTTCATTGTTACAAATAATATAATAGTTATTTGTAACAATGAAGAAGTTATCGATGTGATACGAATGTAATACACGACAATTTATGGTACCAAATTTTTATTTGTCTTCATTCGAAACATTATATGATTTTAATGAAACTGGTGATATTGTCAATGAATAACAAAATCATGCATTTCTCCATAGTTTTTTAAATCGTATGACAGTTTCACTATGGAAACTACATTCATGGTTCTGTGCTGGTACTGGCTATTGGTGGAGTTGTGTCCACCAAAACTCACCAATAAGAATAACACATACTTACCGTAGTTTTTGGGAAAATGAGGCTGGCAATCCATCCAATGGAACAAAATATTTTCAGTAATTCTGAATCTTTCATCATTTTCACCAAGTTCGCTTTTAATAATTTGCAAATGATGTTCACACGGACTTCGAATACTGCATTTTTGATAGCAGTCAGTCTCTGTCTCTTGAACCTGAAAAAACATATTCGGGTTATATAACTAGGCGTTTTTGAACATCCAATGTTGAGAAACAAACTTCGACGAGGGATTTAACAAATTTTAGTGATAATGATAAATGTATTACTATATATTCGCAAGCAAAGTTTGAATTTTGCATTGTGTATTATAAAAAATTGCTTTGGTTTAATAATTATTTTAGATACGGTAAAAGACTGAGTTGAGTTTGTTGTTTTCAGTTCTTTTAAATTTGCTTCTGAAAATCTTTCCTACAAATCACTAAAATAATAAGTGCTTATTTATGCACATTGACGCAAACATCATCAAGAATTTATTAATTATTCACAAACTTTCAACAAAGGAAAATATTAGTTAATTTGTTTGATAACCGAGTGGGTCAAAAAAGACAATCAATATTTGTTCTCGTATATTTACATCACCAAATTGAATTTAATGGCATTTCACATTCACCTTGAAAATATAAATTTGTCCGATTGAGTAAGTTAGTTAGTTGTAGCTTGTAGGTGAATATTGAATATTTTTAAATAGTTTTATTTAGATTGCCCTGTTTGTTTGCTTCAAATTTGGTAATTGAGGTTTGACCCCCTTCCTGTTGACTGTTTGATCTGATATTTGGTACACACATTCAGTTTTGATGACAATACAATTTAACAAATTATGTATCTTTGTAAATCCAAGATGGCCGCAGCTACAAAATGGCGGATTACATATTTTTTCACAACTTCCTCAATATGGGTAACAAATGACAGGGCTTGACTAGTAGAATTGTAGTACACTTTGGAAAATATGCAAACACAAGATGGCCGCGGTCAGAAAATTTCTCAATATGGGTATCAAGTAACAGGGTTTGACAAATACTAAAGTAGTTCACTATGAAAAATATGCAAATCCAGTATGATCTATACAAAGAACATTCTCAACTCCGAATCGGGATACAAGCATGGATATCCCACCAAAGTCAAGATTTTGTATCGTGGCGAGGACTGTTTGGCGTTAGGGTGATTAAAAATACAAATATCGTTGCAAGCGATACACCACCCAAGTTAAGGTAAAAGGTTGAAACGTGCTGTAAACGATGTGGAATTAAAGTGGATGAAATTATATGTCGTTAGCTTTTTCCCTTCATGACTTAAGCACATCTTATTGTATGTAATACCTTGTCCCTCTATTAGACCTCTGGGGTTCGAACGTTATAATCTCTATCACAACATGGTGAATAATAATGAAACTAAAACAAACAAAAATAAAATAAGTGAAAAAAAAATCATATGTACTGAAACAAAAAAATAATTCGGAAGGACCTACGTAGCAGTCATCACACCACTCTCCTCAGCAATCTATGCTATTGATTAGATACAAAATCGTTAGGAGTAGTATTCACATATTTACCTAGTTTTCACTCCTAATAATTTTATTGTTTTTCAATATGGTCAGTATCGTATATTTTTCAATGAAACCGTTTGCCATAAAAAATTTTCTTACGTATTTTATTTCGTAAAACTCCGTATTTCATTTGATTGTATGAAGTACAATAATTCAATAGAAAATTACGTAGCAGTCATCACACCACTCTCCTCAGCAATCTATGCTATTGATCAGATACAAAATCGTTAGGAGTAGTATTCACATATTTACCTAGTTTTTACGCCTAATAATTTTATTGTTTTTCAATATGGTCAATACCGTATATTTTTCAATGAAACCGTTTGCCATAAAAAATGTTCTTACGTATTTTATTTCGTGAAACTCCGTATTTCATTTGATTGTATGAAGTACAATAATTCAATAGAAAAATCAAGTTTCTATATCCATTACGGTTTAACTTCCACCGTCTGATCACCAATTTTTTGTATGACTAATGACTAATCCAACATTAAAATAATTGCGGAAAATTTGATATTTGCTGCAGCTACATGAATGTGCGCAACAAGATTGTGTTTCCCTTCACAATCGAGTCATTAATCTGGAGGTACCTCTCGGAAAAATCTGTTAGGGAGTGCCTTGGAGAAATGCTCATTCGTTCCATTCAACAATTCAGAAATGTGTGGAGACTAGTGGCATTTTTTCTATAATATTCATCTAAAAATTCATAGAGAAATTATTGATAGCTTCACTTGATGAGTAGAATTTGGAACATCTGGCAGTGATTTTGCAACGTCTCAGACTTATTGGCATCTCTAATGAATTAATCACTTTTCATTTGAACTGCAAAAATAACATTTTCCATAAGTTGGTACATACTTTTATTTCATTGGTGCTACCACAATGTAACTACGTTTGAACAACTAATATGTTGTATTATTCAACACATACGTTCAGTTCCACAGAAACTAATATACAATTTTAGAATCTGCCAAATTATTCCGTTAAATTTGCCTTTCCTCCGTTCCTCTTGAAGCACTCTCACTTTGTGGTCATGAGTATAAACTCAACATGGTGGGTTTTCAGATTTATACATGATACATGACCAATGCGTGGCGTAGTAGGAATATACAACTCAAACAGAATATTAAACTTGGTTCATTCAGAACTACCCATCGAATGTCAGTAACGTAAAGGGGATGTATTCCTAAAACCACTTTCAATAATGAATCGGAAACTTTCCTATAATACAAATAATTTTGAGAGTCAGATTATATCCTTCAACATAAACTCTTAATTAGATTCATTTATTACAGCAAACTTGCAACGTCTCTTTCTCTACAAAAAAGGCTTCAGCAATTTCTCCAATTTCATCTAAGAAAGGATATTCAATATCTTTCATACCGATACTATTTATTAAGTGTTGATTCAAAGAAGAAAGTAATACAAGTCATGAAATTATGAAACAACAAAAATTAATGGTAAACGCACAGATGGTATGTCTCTCATACCATAGAAATACGGTAAATCTGTGATATGGGATTTCACTTGCGTTGACACGGTTGCGGCTTCCAATCTAGCCGAAAGTTTGAAGTTTGCTGGAACTGCAGCAGCAACGAAAAAAATACCATAATCTTGGTAACAACTATCTGTCCCATCTAGTAGCAGTTGAAACTTTTGGTGATAAGGCTGCTTCGGTCCTTGGAACTATTCCTCCTTCACATAATTTTGATGAAATTATGCATTGTCCTCATTTCTGTATGTAACTGAAATCTCTTCGAAACAAACCGAGATATGTGGATATTTATCAGTCCCCTATCAAGGTTAATTCGCAAGTGATTGACCCACCTTCCTTCCTCTTTTTCAGTGCAGTCAATGGACTCAAGTCATTCTTGCTCCCCAGATATGAGCTGCAATTCTTGTGGTTCTGGTTACCTTTCAGTGAAAGAGCTTCATGAAACAAGAACCGAATCGAGACCTCTACGAAACCCTTCATCTCTTGGAACGATCGATTGTAGCTTGAAAAATGATTCTGATACAGATTCTGCGAAACATGTTCTTCCTTACAAATCAGTAGACAGTTGTCCTGAAAATCTTGGGAAGAAAATTGGATTGGATAATTTAGGAAACACATGCTACATGAATAGCGTTTTACAAGTGTTGTTAATGACGAACAATTTCAAGAACAAGGTTTTAACGATGAACGAGAACGAGAATGTTTCCTACTTATTCATCAAACTCAAACAATTGTTCATGCAGTTGCAGTTTCGATAGAATGTATCATCTTTCCCACCAACTGATTTCCTGAAGTCTTTGAAGTCCACAAGATACTCGTTAGGACAAAAGGATTGCTCCTAATTTTTGGGGTTCTTGTTGAATACTCTTCGTGAGCAAAAAAATAACAGAATCAATACTCCTTACCGCTCTGGATTATATGATTCCGTACAGTCTATCTAGTCTTCTGTTTGTAGATCTTTTGCTGGAGAAATCCTCACTTGTTCACTTTGTAGTAAATGTGATTTTCTGGAACTTCAACTAGCCTAATATGACTGATAACCAGTCCGTGCAAAGCTTATTATCAAATTATCCGAAAATGGAAATTTTAACGGGTGATGATCAACTGTATTGCCAAACATGCGCCAAAACAATTGACTATTATAAGAAAACAAGTATAACTGAGGCATCAGTCAACCTAATAATGACAGTTGATGATCTTCAAACATAACTCAACCTCTTACGGATGCACCAAACTCTTACGAAAGTTCGAAGTAGATGAACACTTCAATCTAGCAGACCACTATAATAATGTTCATGCAGTCATTGTTCACTGTGGTTCTGGTGTTGAATCTGGTCATTATTAGGCATTGGTCAAAGACGAAACGGACTGGTTTGAGTTTGACGAAAGTAGTGTCACGAAGTGTTTTGAATTTATTGGAGCCTCTGGAGACACCCTACATTTTGTTTTATGAAAGAGAGGACATTGGTAGATCAAAATCTTCACATGATGTGGTGCTGCAGGTTTTCCGGGTGCAGCTGAAAAAGCAAATGCGTCACTGGAATCAATGAAGTCGCCCTGGAGCGCCAATTAATTTTTGTTGTTTCATAATTTCATGATTTATATTACTCTCTCCTTCGAATCATTCAATATCTTTTGGACTTTTCCCCAGTTGAGAGAATTTGGTAAATTAGTTGAACTATAGTTTACCGCAAATTATGAAAGACACCCCTAATTATGAAAGACATTATGTCTTGTTTTAGCCATCATGTCTATCCGTAGTTGCGTCTGGCTTTAAATAAGCACTTTTTCCAAATATCAAAATTGCAATACTCTTTTCGACGCGCATTTCACCAACCGAGTTAGCGGTTTTATATCTAACAGGATATACTTTCAGTTTCCGACACACATAAAATGACTTTAGGTGGAAATTTGCGAACAATTTTCTCGTGAAAGTTCCCGCTAATTTTAACAAACAAAATATGTTTTCATGTCCAAATTAACTTGAACTATTTGATAAACGCGTTCATATAGAATATTCAGTGGGTCAGATATTCGTTTTAGCCCAATTCTGCGGGTTGAGGAAATCATGTAATAAACTGCGTCGATATTTACGGGGGTGAACAGAATAACTGAACTTGAAATAGAAATTTCAAAACATTTCGAGGAAATTAATATTTTCTACAGGTTAGGTTCTGGTGAATGCTTGCCAAAAACAAGTACTTTCCCGGCCAATACCATGATGGATATTGAATAATATTCTGCTGGATTAACGAGAAAAATCTTCAATAATGACTTCTCCAAGATATCTTGCATGAATGTAATGATAATAATAATTTTCCCTTTGACATGATAGCTATAGAAGTAGTCAGTCAGAAATAAAATGAAAGGAAATAAAGTACATGCAAAACAAAAGTTTCCCAAAAAAGTACATGAAAATACATTCACCAAGAACAAATTAATATTGAAACTTTTCTTCAAAATACTCATCTATTGAGGAAACATATTTTTCCAATAGAAAATAACTAAATTTATTTTTTAATGAAATGATGTCTTTGTTTCTTTAACATATTCGGGAAGTTGATTATATGTCCTATGTCCAATACAACTAGGAGAGTTTGGAGTCTCGCATATGTAAATTTTTTGCTGAAAAGTTTTCTGTCTGGTGTGAAATATTACGATTCGTGTTTCAAACCGGTTGGAATGTCGACTTATTCCTCTGAAAGATGCCGTTTAGCAATAAATTTCATGGATCAATCCAAATAAGCATATTTAAATATTTTTGAAAACTACATGGAATTGTAACAGATCTGTAATTTTCAGGAGAATTGACGTTATCCTTAGCATACGTTACAAATTGGCATACTTTTTCGGATTTTGAAGTGAGTAAAAAATTTATCAAATAAGTAAGGGGCTTTATTATACATGATAAGACCTTTTTGAGAATAAAAGTAGACACATCATCAATGCCCGAAGAATAATAAATTTTTCATTCTTGTTAACAATAAATTCATTAATTCTGGTTCACAAAACGAAATGAGATATAAAGTAGGTACTTGAATTAATATTTAAGGGATTTTTGGGCTATATATACTTTTGAGTTAGGTATTTGAAAATCATATTTTTGAAGAACTTGATAAAGAAGTCATTAAAAATTGAAGTAACGACTCTAACTTCAGCAATTTTTTTCTCTTTATTGTTCAATTCAGATGTTTGTTGAATATAATGCAAAATGAGAGGTTATATGCAAATCAATTTTCACAAAAGTGCCAATTGTCTCAGTGTCACACAGAAATCTCATTTTCACTTACTTTTTGTGAAAAAGACAATCATTAACTTAAAAAAAGAAACATATTTTTAAAATACTTCATAAATGGGTTTTATAAAATTGTAATTTATACAATTACAGCTATGGTCTCTTTGGAAAGTGGACTGAAAGTATTTTTGTCGTCATTTCAGCTAGAACATTGAAGGAAGACATATTTTTTTATCCTTTTCTAGAGCAGACGCAAAAGCTTTCGAGTTTGTTCTAGTCATTGCTACTGCAATGATATAAAAAAAATGAATAATTGTTTAATTAATTTGACAGAAATTAACATAAAGCATTGAAAAACTGGAAAACAGGTCTCTCATTTCACATTTCTTCTAATAAAATGAGTTTTTATTGAAAGTAAAACCCACAAAATTTTGAAAAATTTCTTTTTTTTCTTGTATTCGAGAACACCATGTGTTTCATAATACAATAATTTCTTCAAACGTATTTATTACATAGTGCTTCTCAATGAATATAATTATGACTTTCATAATCATTATTCAATTACAGATAATTCTAAAGGAAACACTTTTCCTATGTCAGAACAAAGACACTGTCTCTCGATGTGCGTTTCTTTAACCAAGTGTGCGTCATCAGGATATGATATATCATCACTTTGTATCATCTGATGATGCTAACGAGAAAGGGTTTTTTGTTCGGGTAAAGAAAAAGTGTTTTCTACAGAATCATTTTGCGCTAGAAGTTGTTACAGTTCTACCAATCAAACTGATACTCCTAAGAGGAGTAGATAATTGAAACTACCAGGTTTTTTCATTCAGATCTTACTCAAAAACTTATAATTTCCAATTGAGTTCTACCTGGACATTGGGTAGATGTTCAGAATCTATTGATTCATTGATTTCTAAGTATTAAAAAATTAATTTCAAACTTTTCCCATGCGATACATAAGAAAGTTATAAATGAACTGATACCCCTATACCAAAACATGGTTTGAACATATTCGATTGGTCTATACTTTCATGGTTTTTAATTCCTATGAAAAAAGTATTCCCCGTTTGACCTATATAAAATTTGGGTCTACAACCACAAGTTAAAATATGAATATGACGACCTACAGTTCTGTTTTCTGGAAAAATATCAACAACATATATATATTTTCATATCGACTCACCATTTTTAGTATATACTTTATCAACGCACGCACTTAAGAGGTATCCTTGGCAAACTTCCGCGGTGTTACTGTGGACTAATATCTAATTGTCAACTGATAATCTCCTAATGCAGAAATCGAAACGGATTTGAGTCTAATAGTTTTGTGGTTTTATATTTTATACGCTGTCCGCGGAAACTTTTCGACCTTGGAACCGGAGGATCTTTAGATGTGAAAAACAAGTATTGAATGCCGCGCAATTGAGACTTTACCAAGATTTGATTTTACACAACGATATTCAGATCTGTCTCTAGATTTACTGGCTGGCGTTAGTTGAAAATTGATTTGATTCACACCAGTGATAGTTCATTGAACATATTTTTGTTGATATCAACAAAGTCATGAGCAATAATAAATCAATGACAAAAAATTAAACAATTTGGCGTTTGTTTGTAGCACTATCAGGTTTATTTATAAAACTATAACCGGTAGTTATTAACGAAATTGAATAATTTCTGAGTAATCACAGAAAACATTGAATTATTGTTTTTATGCATCTGAATGAGAAGAGGGAACACAAAATTAAAAAAAAAATGTTTGAATTCCGTTTTACAATTTTGTTACATCAGATTTGTAAACATTCAATTTATAAAGAAAACGTAAAAAATATCGTAGTGTTTGAAAAATTCGAAATGTTTCGTCTACGAGCAGGTGGTTGGTATCTTCAGTAGTACAAGGACAGTCTCTGTTGAAAGATTAAAAAAACACACTCAATCGAATGGATGTCGATAATATTTTTGTATACCCCGAAATGTAATGTTGAATATTACTGGAGTTTTACCCAAACCGTTGTTGTTTAACACCTCAATACGTGTTTTGATTACAAGTGATCATCTTCAGGAGGAAGATTAAACAGTTTTATCTCGATGGCCTAGAAGTCTCGAAAGTATATGTCCAATAACACATACAGAATTATTAGATATTTGTTCTTCGTTCATCGTTTTGTTAAGTCTATGCGGATCTCAGTTTATTTTGAGTTCTCATCTTTTCATAAAGTTGTTGGGCATTAGTTTGGCTCTACATACACGTAGTATTCTCATTATTGTATTCCAATTGGATTTTAAACAACATTTTATATGAAATCCAGTTGAACCTATTATACAGTCTATGTTCTTCAACTTTTACGTCCTTCAACTTCTACTTTCTGCAAGTTCTATGTTATATCCCCCTTCACGCAATATCACAGAATCAGTTGCAATTAGGTATAGATAGCATCTACGAAGTTTCTAACTATGAATTTACTGTAGAATTCAAAAAAGAAGTGATACATCCTCTATGTTTGAGTAAGAATGTTACAGGATCGGACTTCCATTGTCTAAAAAATTTTACTAGATTTGAAATCTTGAGAATAAATAAAGCTGAAAAACTATGGAATATTGATAATAATACTGATACTAAAAATAACACGACCAAATTGTTCGGATAAGTTAGTTAAAAACTAATTATTATCAAATTGAAAGGGTTATATTTTTAGGAGAGGAGTTTTTGGGAAAGAACGTTTTTGGCTTTCTACGTCTTCTTTCTTCTCACAAAATTAATGGAAAAACGTGATTTTTGTTTAATTATGGTTCATATGAAAGTAGCTGTTTCGAAAGTACTTCTTCTTTTGTATAATTCAGTGTGCACATGAAAGTAGTTGTTTCGGTAGAACTTTGTCTTCCAGTGTATATCTGAAAGTACCTTAAATACATGATCCGTACATTTTCGTGAAGAGTTTATTTTGAAAATAATTACATTATTTTTTCATTCGGAAAGTTCCTATATTTTTTGTATGACCATGGAGAAGTAGAAAGCTGAAACTTTCATTTTTCAAAAATTAACATCAATGTCGGAATTATGCCCCCTTACTACGCATCAAGTGTTTTATTCTGAAATATCGGATGTCCATGTAAGTGAAATTTTATCTTCTTCATATACTATATGTTGTAGCAATCCTGCGAATGATATCTGATTGAATTCGTCAACGAATGTTTGGAGTACAAACTAAATAGGTGTTCCGTCCTCACCTGTTCTCTTTTTTTATTTTTTTCTCTTTGTGTATTTGTCTAATAAAAACCTTCACCTAATTTACAAAATTTGTATTCAATGCGGAATTCGGTTGTCTTTTCTATTCTATTCTATTCTATTCTGATGAAATATATGAAGAGTTCCTCGTAGCAATATATTTTGGTCGATCGCTGAAACAGCAACAGAACAATTGGTATTCGCTATATAGACTCGCGACAGAAAGCATCTAAGTTTGTTCCAATACCTACTCAATAGACTAAGAAAATTGCTGGTCAGCTAGTGTTGTGTGATCTAACGGGTTCCTACGCTCATCATCCTGAAACCAAAAGTCTCTTTACAAGCTGCTATTAGAGTCGACATATACAAGCCACAGCCACGTAATCACTCTCGCTCCTTCTTTATGTGTCCCGAACAAAATTCATTTAGGAACGTCATCAAATTATACAATCCTATATTATACTACAGTCCACTTACCTAATGAAGCTACATGTTTTTGGTTCTTCAAGCCGAATTATCTGATTGCATAGAACTAGGGTCTTCATGGGTCTCATGAAAGTTGCAACACAAGAAGAGCAAATTGAATGGAAATTTATTCCACCATCAAGTCCGCCGTTTGACGACCAAATCCCTACTTATGAGGAGTTCAACACATTACTGATTCAAATAGAAGTTATTTTAAATTCAAGACCCCTGTGTTTTACCAGACTCCATCAAGACTTTTGGTCTCGATGGAGTAAAGAGTATCTTCAAACTCTACTACAGTGAGGAAAGTGGACAGAACCATTTGCAAATATCAAGCTCTGGTCAGTGGTTCTAACAAGACTTTTGGTCTCGATGAAGTAAAGAGTATCTTCAAACTCTACTATAGTGAGGAAAGTGGACAGAACCATTTGCAAATATCAAGCTCTGGTTAGTGGTTCTAATAAAAAAAAATGATGATATGCCAGTTTTGCGTTGGTAAGTAGGTCGTGTCAGTTATATTTATTATGAAATTGATTACTTTTTTCCTTTGTTTGGAAAATTCCCACATTCTTTTTGTTTTAAAATAACTCACCACGGCAACACTGCAGCTAAATTTTTGGTGGAGAAACGACATACAAATCTATTGACTGAATCAGAGTGTAATCAGAATGAAGAGAATGCACTGAGAATCTGAATCCGTTTCATAATGAAATGGAAAAACTAGATGAACTTTGTAACGACAGAGACGAGTTTTTGAAGGTGCAATATTTTTTTTTATGATAGGCCAATGTGTGCTTTTTCTCGTTATCCATCAAAATAATGAAATTTAAATAATGTTTTGTTCGAATCCGTAGAGCGGAAGATTCGAAAATATTAAAAAAATTCGAAATGCCAGTATAGAGTTCGAATTTGAAAGAAGGGTATACAATTGGAAACTAAGCAACTCTTCTTTGGGCATTTTTTGAAATAAAAAAATTACTTTTGTGGATTTTCGAAAATAGCGTCGAATTTGACAGGTTTAAAAAAGGAAGATGCTGTCTTTCAATCACTCCTTACCGAACTGGATATAATAATGCTGAGTCAGACAATTCCTTTTTCTGCTTCGATAAGTTTGTTGGGGGTTAAAATGGACACCAATATGTCTTGGCACAATTATATCTGTGGAATTGTAAAGGCTGCTTCTCAAAAGCTTGGAACACTGTTCCGAACCAGAAAACTGTACATACCTCAGCAACTTTTGATGCTTTATAAAGCTCAATCAGAGCTCCGCCCCCAAACCCACACAGCACCAGATATTCATGGAATATTCCCTCTATATCATAAAACGAACGTATATATTCCCAATATTCATAGAATGTTCATGTGATATATACATGCCTTTAGAATATTCATAGAATATGCTTGAATGAAAATGGCAGGATTATTCCCGAAAGAATATGCATAGAATGTCTATAAATTCTTCCGTAAATAATCTAAGAATATTGTCGATCGAATATACCATATGGTATATTTTTGGAATATATCCCCAGGGTATATTTCGAAATATTCTATACGGTGTATTACTGGAATTTGGAATTATCTTATGATAACATATTCAAATAATTGAATATCATTGAAAACAAAAATATATGTAGATTTTAATCGAATGCATAACCTAATGTATATAACCCTAATAGCGTTAATCAGTTTTTGAACTCAACGCAAAGATTCTGATGAATTGCTCCAACTGCAACTGTTGGAAACGACAAAAAAATTCTAATGGGCCAATAAATGAACCAATTGCATCAATAAATCGGTTTATTCTCATCCTATTTGTCTTTTTGTATTTGAAATTATTCAATTACAAAGCGACAAATCCTGACAATAGAGAAATGGGGAAGTGAATTATTGGAGTAAACGTTTCTCATTGGTCAATTGAAGTGTAGCGCGCGACAGTCGAAGCTCTGTGAAAGTGGCTGCCCCTTAACGCTTGACAGCTGTTAACGACAAAGCTTTCGCCACCAGTGAGAAAGGGAGAAAAACAGTCAGTGTGTTGTATCGCATGATATGAAAAACAGTTAAAACCTCGATTTGTCTATTAGATGTATTATCCAGAAATCTTGTACAAATTTAATTATACGTTTCTATAAAAACCACACAATCTACAGTCCACTTGCTACCCAACATTTGGTCCTTCGAGCCGGATGTGTATGTGAAAAGTACCTATTAGTGGTTGAATTGGTCGAGAAAGTTAACAGTTGATAAATTGTGCAAGTTTTACAGTGGGCCACCGCAATCGAGAACGCAAGATTCAGGTCCTTGTATAATTGAACTGGGCGATTTGAATAGACAGATCAAAAGGGTAAGTTATTCCTTTATTTCCTTTCACTTCTTGCTATTGCGAGAAGTTTAGTATCTACAACAGAAGACGACAATGTTTCTCAGAGTTTCGTGACACATTCGAAAGTTTGATTAACGGAAATAATGCTAAAGGGAAAATTGAAAAATTTCATTATTTAAGAGCGTCTCTACAGGGAAGTGCCGCTGAAGTCGTGAATACACTTGAATTTTCTAGCGATAATTATACTTTAGCTTGGATGGCTTTATGTGAGAAGTATAACAATATGCGTTTGTTAGTCCACAACCACGTTACTTGGCTCGGTTTTAGGAAATCGAGGAATGTCCAATTGGTAAGCCTTTGTCAAAGGAAGAAAGGACTTGTGAACATCACTTTCAACAAAACGTGAAGCGCTTAGAAAACGGGAGATTCATGGTGTCACTACCTTTCAAAAATCCTATT